TTCCTCTCTGAAATCAATAAAAATATTTTTTTAAAAGAAAAACACATTTCAGAAATATCCTTTATTGTTGAGGACTTTAAAAGCTATATATATATATATAAGATGACAAAGAATAAACAAAAATGAATACTGTAAACTTACTTCCTGTCTAAGCTTGGGTCTCCCTGGACACAAATCAAGTTACACAACAAAGATATCATTGATCAGGGATTCTTGGCCTCTCCCAGCCCAAGTTCTCATTGTGGCTGTGTGTGCACACAGATCATATCCCAGCAGTGACAAAACTCAACTATTTTTGTCCCCATTTTTCCTTTATTTGAATCTGGAAGCCTATGTTAGCAAAGAAAGTTTGAGCTCTCATTCCTTCTAACTTCAGAGTTCTATTGCAAAGGCAGAAAGTTTATTCCTTTTGCTTGGATCCCCTTTTTCTCTCTCCTTCATCACCTCCTCCCCCACAAAGGAGACAGAGGATTTCATAATCAAGTATTTGAAGATGACAAATGATGGATGTTAGGGGTTCAAGTTGGGAAATCCTGCTGTCAACTGAGGTTCATGACTAAGAGGACTGAGTGCTATAGGAGGCAGGATGGGAAATGAGGCACTGCTGTATTAAATGCTGGAAAAACCCCTAATAGAGCTCCAGTGTAAATAAGGTTTTGTGGTTCCTATTCTTCCCTCTGTTTCTTCCCCCACTCCAGACTTATTTTAGAGAGCCTGTAGAAAGGTCTAGAGTCCACTAACCAGACAGCTGAATGGTAGATGACAGAACACAGAGAAGGGGGACACTGAGATTACTACTAGAAGGCAGACCCCATCCTGTTGTTGCCCACATGGAGATGTCAGGTGGAAATAGCCCACACAACAGCCCAAACACGTGATAGAGTAACATGACCCCTTAGTGCTGCAAGCTCGGGGCCCTCCCTTAGAAAGAGCAGGTAAGGGGTGGATGGGAGGGCTGAGAGGTTTTGTCTGCCTTGTGAGATAGTCTTTGAGGCTTTATTTTGAAAATCCGTGTCTTTCCTGAGCACTGAGAAGGAGGGGTGGGAACCCCGGCAGGGAATGGCAGGGCTCTGGGGGCCTCGAGGAAGTCCAGTTAGAGTACACTTGTAGTGTTTTAGGAGAGAGAGGATGGTTGTGTGCATTAGGGTGGTGGCTGTGGAAATAGAGAGAAGGGAAAGGATGGGAAGGGTATGTTTGGGGAGAAGTGACGATGTCTCATAGCTGTCAGGCATTGTTCGTTTATCTGTACTCGTGCATAGCCTAGAAGTCTCATGCATGTCAGACTTGCAACCCACAGGACACATGCCTTGTTGATTTGGCCCATATTAGCCTTTGAGTTTGACATGCTTGCTCTAGCCTAAGGGGTCTGTTCCCAGGGCCTAGTGTAGTAGCCTCACCAAGCAGGTGCTTAAAGGAGGCTGAGGAAACACACGGGTGTCTGCCGTGTGTGCTACAGTGGCGGTGAGAATGTTACAGTTTCCAAAGCCAGGGCATTCATAGTGCCTGCCTTGTAGGAATCCTGGTTTGGACCTGGAAAGCTTTGGCTAGGGTTTCAAAGAAATTATTTCTTCCTTATTTTTCTTTCATTGCCCTAAAGTGACAGAGCAACAGTAGCCCCGTGTGTGGCTGTGTCCAGACTGTACACACATGCAGACATCAGAGACCTTCCCACGCAGCTTTAAGCTCCCTGCCTGTGCCTATTGGGTCGCCTGCACAGATCTGGCCTGCGTGCGTGCGTGCTCTGGTGGGAGCTGGTTGGTTATGCGAGGCCTTGCTTACTTTGGGTCACATACTTGTGGTTTTCAAATCCATTTCTTTTTGTGTGTTTGTCTCCTCCCTGACCTCAAGGGCTGGATTCAGTCTTACTATGCGAAACAAGCATGGAGATGCTTAGAAGTGATGATATGTTTGCTTACAAAATGTATCTATGGAATGCATTTAATGCCACTAACCTGTGCACTTAACGATGGTTTAAGTGGTAAATTTTATGTTATATATGTTTCACTACACTAAAAAATGTTCATATAAAGTGCTCTCAGACTTTATGATATTTTATATGCCCCAATAATGGAGAGATTAGATCTTGATCCTGCTACTTACCTACTGAACCTCAGTCTACTTATCTGTAAGATGGGATGATAATATCTACCTAACAAGGTTGTCCTGCTTGATCTAGTAAGTGGTAACCACTTTATTATTTGTGTTCTGAAAGACTTCTGGTGTAAGTTTTGCATCTCAGAGTTTGGGAATTTTAAAAAGAGAATGTATAGCTAAAGCATTGATGCCACTATATTATAAAACTACCAAAAGGCCAATTAAATGCTTATGAAGTCCCAAGAAATATCCATTTACAAACCCACAGACAGTTGGGAAAGAGGGAAAACATTTCACTCTGCAATTAAGAGGTTTTATAACTGAATATGTCTGTGCTTAAGTAGACTCATATTTTATAACTAGAGGCCCAGTGCACAAATCCATTCCTTAGGGTGGCCTGTGGGGATCTGGCCGAAACCCACAATCCAATGCCACCTGCCTTTCCTGCTCATTCCAGCCCCACTAAGCCTGCTGCAGGCTTGGGCCCAGTCAGTCCCGATTGGGAGAGGCTCATGCCACTGCAGCAGCACTCGCCAGCTGTGAGCCTTGTGCCTGGGCCTATCCTGTGCCCAGCCCAGGATCCAGATCCATCCCACTGACATTCATGCCAGAAGTTGTTAGCTGCCTGGTGACTATTTTTATATTGTTTCTTCCTTGCGAAGCATCTAGGGAGGGGAAGCAACCATGGTGCGCAAGGCCAACTTCCAGGAGGCTGGCAGTGCTGTTGGGATTGTGCCAGTGGCACCAGTCTGGTGGTGCCTGGTCCATTCTCCAGAGATTGGACCTACAGGACCACTGAGGGAGGGAGTGGCTGCTGCCAGGCTGGTGGGCCACTGGGATGGGTTGCTCAGCTGATTGGCGTTCCGACTGTAGGAGCACACTGACTACCAGGGGCAGCTCCTGCATTGAGTATCTGCACCCAGGTGGTCAGTGTGCATCATAGTGACTGGTTGACTGGTCGTTTGGTCGCTTAGGCTTTCATATAGCTAGATAGCCTAATATTTTTACTCCCAATGATGGGTAGGTGCATTTTAGAAGTGATCTTGGAGATGGAAAAACCTAAAGGGATAGATCCCCACATGGTCCCATTTATTATTGCAAATATATTTTTTTATAATTATGGGAATAATTATTAACAATAACAATGGCTAACATTTGAGTACTTACAGTAGGCTAAACCCTGATTCAAGCAATTCATGCACCATCTCATTTAAAATCATGCATGCCAGTTGTTGGAATTCCGGAAAATGAATAAATGTATCTGTGAATAATTGGGACTGTGCTGTACATAGGAACTGTAACTCCCTTTTCTTTTTTTTAACTATATTTTTTTATTAATTTCAGAGAGGAAGAGAGAGGAAGATAGAGATAGAAATATCAATGATGAGATGGAATCATTGATTGGCTGCCTCCTGAACGTTGGACAAAGCCTGTGACCCAGGCATGTGCTCTTGACTGGAATCGAACCTGGGACCCTCCAATCCATAGGCCAACACTTTATCCACTGAGCCAAATCAGCCAGGATTATAACTCACTTTTCAACTTAATGTGTTTAGACGTTTACAATGTTATTAAAAGCTCCTATGATCACTATCTAAATAACTAGTTTGGATCTGTCCCCATAGTTTGAAGAGGCCACAATTTATGTACCATTTTAAATAACACTGGAAAAAAGCCTCATAAATATTTGAACAGTTCCTGGATATACACTTGTGACTATAAAAATTTACATGTCCAAGAGGCTAGATTTGGTATAAAGCCATGCAGTCAGCTAAATAGTTCCACACAAGGCAACTAACACTCCATTAAAATATATAACAAATTGCAACATAAAAGTAGAATATAGAAAATCTCGCTTTGGGAAGCAGATGATTTGCTGCAAATTTTTAATAATCATCGTGCAAGTTACTCAACCTCACAGAATTTAGGCTTTCTTCTCTGTTGAGTAGGAATAACAATGATACCTTCACCAAGGTGGTATGGGAAGTTTCAAAGGTCAGTGCCTATAATGCATGTAGGCAGGGCCTGGTGTGCTGGTAACACTAAATAAATGTGAGGTGCTATTGACAATACTGAGTACACAGCAGTGTGGTTCTTATGTAAATATTGCCCGACTGTATGTCGGTCCTGAAGTATTTGTGTAAATATTTTCCTAAAATAAATGTAACTAAGGTTGTCTTTGTTACTCGTGGTCAGTCATTTTATACAGTGGCATATACACAAATACAAAATTGAGATACAGGCAGTGGGTGGTGGCAGTTAGGAAAATCGGCTAGGGAGCGCTCCCAGGAAGTCGTTAGCAGAATTTGAGGTCTGAAGCTTGTATTTAATGTATCGGAGTAAAGACTCAAAATGTTAGTGTTAGCAGAAACCAGATATCTTAGGGCAATGGGTTTTAAATTTTGCGAGCAATACACAGTACAAAATTCAATTCCATGAAGACTCATGATGCAAATACATGTAAGCATTGTTTTGTAAAACTGTCTCACCAACAGTGCTAATTCTTACTGTGTGTGCTGTACTCTGAAATTTCAGAATCGGTTTCACTTTCTTTTAATGTTGGTTGTGAACCAGTTAAATTGATTTTGCTGGGTAGAGACCCACAATTTGAAATAAAACCTTAAAAGTTAGTCTATCCTTCCTCTTTAATAAAACTAGAAAAAAATTGCACCACCATTTTTGTTGTTAATTCTCACCCAAGCATTTCACCAATAATGAATGGTTTGGTTCTTATTTGCATAAGAATTTGAACTTTGGGGTCATTATTCAGACATATTTAGATACTATTCTATTAAAAGGGCATTGGAACAAGAGGTAGACAGAATTCTACCGAAAATTGGGCACAGGTCATAATTCATTCTGGTTTCCCCTTCTCTTAAACCAGGTAGTTCTAATTTGCCAGCAGAATGAATGCAGAAAGAGACTCAGAAACGACATTTGAGGAGGATTCTCATCCCAATGATGAAGTGGTTCCATACAGTGACGATGAAACGGAAGATGAACTTGAGGACCAGGGGCCTGAGGTTGAACCGGCACAGAATCGAGTCAACAGGGAAGTGGAGGAAAGACGGGAGACGTTAAGAAAAGGTAACTGCTCTGGGACTGGAGACCAGGTACCACCCTTGTGATCCTCACATGAGCAGTGGCACTGGCTGCAAAGGATGGATGGCCCATGTTAGATAGTCCAGGAGTTACCTTCCTTCTCTTATCTCAGGATGCAACCAGGAGAGGGGCTTGGTCAAGTACACAGAGTCCTCAGTCTATAGGGCTGGTCCACTTCTCTGACAAGTTCTACCCAGAAACAGGAGGTCTTCAGTGTGCCTTCATTGTCTGTATTGTTAGAAGGGGATTGTATGTAAAGAATTTGCTTGTTACTGAGCCAGGGACCTTCGAGTTACCATACCTTTTGTTCAGTCATTAGTGACTATAAAATGGTTTTGACTTTGTTTCTCTAGGAAAATTTTTATGGCTTCTCTGACTGCCACATGGGGCCTGTTTTACAGCAGCTTCGAGGCCGTGTCTAGACCAGGGTTGGCAAATTTCTTCTGGTAGTGGCTTTTCTATTTCATTTCCTGCTGCTTCTCCCACCCTGGCAAATAATGTGGCCTTTTCCTTAGCTCTTCTGCTCCACAAGGAAGCTGATCCTTTTCTCTTTGGGCCCCAGATTTGCTCCAGGTTGAAACCGTTTCCTCCAGGTTCCTAAAGCCCAGCTAAATGCCTGTGGTTTGCAAGTCACAGAAATCTCCATGAGATTGATCTGTTTCTGACTCTCCAGACACACCTTTCCACAGCCTCTATCAGAATGACCTCTGGTTTTATCTGGTTTCTCCAAAGTCTCCCTCACCACCTGTCTGCCTTTCCAAGGTCTCCCAGAAGCCCGTGTCCCTCCTGTCACCCCGCTCGCCCTCGTTTCTCCTTCCAGTGTTCTGCTGCCTGTTAAACTGGTCTTTGTTCAAAGTCTTCACCCAGAGGAAAGAGTGGCATGGCATGAAATCCCTCACACTTCCGCCATGATTCCTCCTGGTCAGGGGTGCCCCTGCTCTTCTGAGCAGGGAGGCACTCAGTGTGAGGGAGGGCATATGTCCACGCAGGGCCCTCCCACCGCAGCTCTGAGGCCATCAGTATGTTTATATCGCTTGCCTGTTTCTCAGCTTTTCACATCAAACTTGTAGCCTAGCCCATGTGGCTCGGTGGTTGAGTGCTGACCTATGAACCAGGAGGCCACGGTTAGATTCCTGGTCAGGGCTCCATCCCCAGTAGGGGGCCTACAGGAGCCAGCCAACTAATAATTCTCATCATTGATGTTTCTATCTCTCCCTCTCTGAAATCAATAATTATTTTTTAAAAGTAAACTTTTTAGACTTTCTTGCGGACTTCCGGCTGATATTGAATATCAAGCTTACGTGCTTTCTGCCTCTAAGTAGAAGTCATGACAATTGAGCTAAATGAAAATGGAACCACTGCCAAGCTGAGCAGGAATGTGGCTTCTGTCATAACAGGTCCAGGCTGGGTAGAGTTCAGATGGGGAAAGTTAGCGAGGAGTTCTAGCTGGTTGCCCAAATAGTGCACAACCTGTTTCTTCCTCATTCCTTTCCCATTGCACTTCTAAGTTTCATATCACGGCATCGGAATCTCTATCGTATAGAGATATCTGGTGAGCTGGCTCCAAGGGTAAAGGGTGAACTTGGCTGCTGGTGCTTGGTGTCACGCTATCAGATTTGTGGTTGAGGACACAGCAAAGGGCCTGGGGTTGGGTGCCTGCAGAAATGTCAGACAAGCACGTAGTGGGTGGCAACTCTCACCTCTGGTTTTTTCCAACTCTGCCTTTACATGCTGGGACTCCGGGCTCTTTCCTGATGGCTGAGTTGGCAGGTCTTATTTCTTGTTGATTTCTATCCTCAGAATATAGGCGTTGAAGGGGTTCAGGCTTGATCCTATCTCTTCATAGTCTTTTCCAATGAGGGCTTATATTTCTAGAAGAATTTGGTGGTTCTCATTTCTCAAAACCCCTGTTGAATAACTTGGCTTGTGACTTTTAAAAATATTATTATTCTGACACTTCTGTCTGTCCTTCCAAACACAAAGAGGACATTTAATAAGTGCTAGACCTCTTCCCCCATTTCTTCCTCCTTCTGCCTGGCATTTACCCCAACCAGTCTGCTTCCTCTTCTCCCCTTCTCCCCTTCTCTCTTTCTCCTTTCTTCCCCTGCATCCCTCTTTCCCCCTTTCTTTGCTTCTCTTCCTGTTCTCACAAACATACTAGCACAGAACAGTATTAGCTGGAATGTGTTCTGGGAAACACCAGTCCCACCGAATACTCCAGGACACCAAGATTCTGTGGTCCCATGACCAGACACTCAGAATTCTTTATCTTTGTCTTAGAGTTTAAGGTTGTCCGTTGGCATAAAGGGATCAGGAAGGTTGGGCTTTAAAGAAACCAGTTTAATTCTATTCAGCCACAGCTTCCTTAAATTCCTTGATGCTAAATGCTGGGTCTTTTTGTTTGTTCTTTGGTTTATCATCCTGGTGTTACTAGGTTAGCTCCCTGGGTGACGCTGTGCCAGTTGGGAACCAGCTTCGACAGGGAGTCCTTGGGAAGAAGTAGTGCTCTGGAGGGGGTCCCTGGATGAGGACAAATTGGCCCTTTCTTCTGAGCCCGGGACGGAATGGAAAAGCTGCCTCCTGCCTCCTTGGCGGCATTGCTTTATTAATGAACTTTCGCATCTTCTTGCTCTGACTGGCTTGCAGATACACCCACAGCTTCCATCTACAGCAGATTCTTACCTCGGGCCGGTGTCCTGTCTCCTGTTCTCAAGGCCATGCTTCAGGAAACCCGTTTACCTACCTCCACATCCTCCTCGTCTCTCAGGTTCTTCCCCTCTGTGGGCTGTCTATGGATAACACTTTCTGAAAGGTCACCAAGAACCCCAGTGCCAAGTCCATTGAGCTTTGTATCAATCACCTGTTCCCGACCTCTGTTTTCTCTGATGGCTTGACCTTTTCAACAGCCTCTCCTTCAGGAAACGCTGATCTTCTGGCAGGTAATACCCTCCTGTCCCAACACTTTTTTTCTCCTCTCCCCCCACCTTGAACATGTTCACATTTCCGTTCATCCTCTGTTCTCTCTCTACAGGCCTTCCTTTGGCAAGCTAATCATTTTAATCTGCTTCAGGCACCACACCTCTATGTGTGACTCAAAGACAAAATGCATGTGATGGTGAGGAGGGAGGACCCTGGATAGAGATTGTGGCATAAAATGCCGATTTCATGCTGTTCACAGATTCTGAGTCAGAAGTTCGGACAGGACACAGTGGGGGTGGCTTGTGTCTGCTCTCGGGAATCTGGGACTTCAGCTATGAAGACTTGAACCATTGGGGTCTAGAATCGTCTGGAAGCTTCTTCATTCCTATGTCCAGCCCTTGATCTGGATAATTCAAATGCTCAACTGGGCCTTTGGATAGAAGCACCCCAGCATCTTGGGCTTCTCCTGGCATGGCACTGGGCTGCCATGGGAGTGTCCTAAGCGGGATCATTGTGCCTGTGATCAAAGCAGAAGCTGGTTATAGAATTCAGGCAGCATCATGAGTGCTACGTTCTCTTGGTTATAAGATAGCCACTGAGGCCATCCCTGAATCAAGGGGAGAGAAATTAGATGCTACTTCTTGATAAGGAGGTCACAAGGTCACATTGCAGAATGGGAGAAACTGCTGTGGCCACCTTTGGAAAGTGCCTTCTGCCTCAGTGGATAATAGAGACATCTGTAGGGATGAGTAATGGAGGAGGCAGGGGTGGTAAAGGAGAGGGCTGTTGTTTTGAACCTGATCACTTAGGAGATATTTGTGAGATAGCCACTTGTATTGTGAGCTGGCAATGAGAAGTTTAGGATAAATTAGTAAGGAACGAACAAGTATAGTGCAGCCTTGTACCTGGAAAGAGACAGAATTTTAAACACTTAACCACAATGTAATAAACAGCATTGAACTTTAGTTTCCAGAATGCAGCCCTTAGAGGAGTCAGCTGACTTTTGGGTTTTGCTGTGCCTATATACGTCGCATATTCTTAGGGAGAGGGAGCGTCCAGGTAAGGGCTTTAGGAGAGGAGTCTCTTCCATGAGTTCCTGCCCCCAGCCCTTCCATAAGGTCGCCCACCTCCTACTCCCCATCCACGCATTCTTCACACATGCATACATTCTAGGAGGTGTGACAACTGAGTATTAGAACTGACTGATTCTGACTATCCAACTTGGAACTGGAGGTGATTCACACAAACGCTTCAACATCGTTCATTCATTCATTTTAAACTAAGTGATAGTGTATAGGGAGTCCTCCAAGTCCTTCTTCTTAACTGTGTTGGGTTGTTCTCGTACTTGAAAATATAAAACTGTATTTCTTTTAAAGCCTTTTCCAGCTCAGAATTTTGTGTAGGGGTGAATTCTGTGTTGTGTTGCTTGACTATTTAGGATGGAATGTTCAGTCATGAGGGCTTAAAGGTATCATCAAGAGAGCATCAGGACACCGGGAGGAAGTGTGACTTCAGACTGGGTGTGGCAGCCACAGAACAAGAACAGCTGCAAACCCCACGGAAAAGCTGTCTTCAGAAAAGAGTGGGAATGAAGGGCGTGGCTCTCCAGAGCATCTATGAATTCTCTCCTATCTGGAATCAAAACACAGACTAAGCTAGCCCACTGAAATAGTGAATCCTAGGAAATCCTTGGAGTATACTGAGGATCGATGTTTTCTACTAAATCAGATTCGTTTTCAGTTTTCGACCCTTACCTAACATGTGGAAATTCCACTCTGATTACTTAATTTCTTTCTCTAATTGACCGTAAACTGCCTGCCTGTTCATTCGCCTTAAGACACTGCAGTAACTGGCAGCTCGTAAAATAAAGGGTGTGTGAGCGAGGGGGTGGGGATATTCCTGTGCCAATGATTTGTAATAGGAAAGGGGGTGGTAAGACTGTGCCTTGGGTAGTGTCATTCATGACTGAAGCTTGGGAAAGGAGCTTTTGCTCATGGAGACCTAATACGGCTTGTGCTTTTCTTACTGGCTGCTTGGATCCTGAGTCTCTCTCCCCCTTCTTCTCTCCTTCTCTCTCTCCCTCTCTCTAACTGAGGGTGCTCAATCTCTCTGGTGCATCAGAATCACATTGTGGGGTTTTTAAAACCTTATGGGTGCGTGAGCCCAGTCCCTGGAGATGCCGATAGAGTAGGTCTGAGTGAGACAAAGTGAGAAATCCATATTTTAAAATGAATTCACAGTTTCTACCTCGAATCAGTAGAATAATGCATATCATCCCTACTTAGCACACCTGCTCCTCAGAGCCTAAGTGGTCACCAACTAGCATCACTGGGTGCTCGTTAAATGCAGAACCTCAAGCTCCTCCTATCAGCCAATCAGAAGCTGTTAACAAGATCCCCAGTGAGGGTGAGGGGACTTTATTTCAAAGGGCAGTTGAGCCCCCAAAGTCCTGCTTTGCTCAATCTCTGCAGTGTGTTGCTTAGTGACAAAGTATATTGCTGGGAGGGTTGCTGTCAGGTGTTATGGAGGCTGGAGAAAGGCTGAGGAATGCTGCCCTTGAGCAGTGGATCACTGTCACCTGCAAATTAGGGTCACCTGGGACCTTTACTGGGCTCATCCAGCCTAAAGCAGAAGGGCTGGACAGGGCTTTGGGAAGTGATTTAAAACAAAACATCTTGGGGATTCCATTAGGATCAAGAGCAGCTAATCCCACAGCCATGGTGCACAGGAATCCATCTGGGATCTTGTGAAAATACTGATTGTCTGCCTGTGACCTGAGAGTCTGCATTTCAACCAGATCTCAGGTGATGCAGGTTGTCCATACTTTGTATAGAAAGGGCCAGAAACAAGGAGTGAAGTTGTTTTTATTTTTGTTTTTGGCAACAGAGCTGAATGCTCCAAAAGCACACAATTAAGCAGATAGACATGATAAATTCTAGACTCCAGCCTCTGACCTCCTTTCCCATTTTCTCAAAAGCTGATCAGACCTTCACATTCCCTGTGGGTGCCCACTTTGAGCCACCTAGGCGCTATCCCTTGAGAAACTTAAGGCCCTACATACCCTCCCTCACTCATCCTTCCCTACCCCTTACCCCAGGGGAGAAGCCCTCTCTCTCACCTCCTCTACACTCCCCTCCATCAGCCATCCCCTTGTCTTCCTATCTTCTAACCATCACCCCTCCTGGCTCTTTCAGGCTCCCCATCCTAAAAACACTTAATGAGCTCCCTCCCCACTTAGTTTCTTATCCAGGAGAATCTTTTCAGTGAGGGCTGAGCTAGCTGCAGGCCTCTTGGACATGCCAAAAAGAAACAAGTTTGGAATAGCCCAAGGGGCAGTAGCCACAGCCCCACCACAAAGGATCCTAGAACATACCACAAATCAGGGAGGGGCCCCTCTCCTGCTATATCAGGTTCTGGAAGTGAGAGACCCACTGTAGGTTATCCCTTTCCAAAAAGCCAGCCCTACCACAAAACAGTGGTTGCCATGAGGTAGAGAGGTGGGTGTTGTGTCTAAAGCCATGGAGGACACCGTAGAGAGGACAGAGGGTGGCCAGGGAACTGTGTCATGTCACTACTGCAAGCTGAGTCCCCAGTCTTCAGTCAGGCTACCCAACTCACATCCATGCTCGTCAGAGCTGTATGAGGGCACTGCCCTGTCTCAGCCCTTCCTGGCTTTGGTACCCAAGGCTATAGCTGAAAGTCACACCACCACCATTACCACCACCACCATCACCACCACCACCACTTTCCTCTCCTCTTCTTTCTCTCCCCCTCAATGATGACTGAACTCATATCCTTTCAGGGTCGTTCAAGAGAGAGAGAAAGGGTGCAACAAGATTCATGGGCAACCAAAAGATGAAAGTCATCATCTAGATTTAGCAATTCCACTCCTAAATGGATATCTAGGAAAAAATCTTATGAGTCTCCTGTCAGGTGTGATGGAGGCAGGAGAAAGGGAAAGGGATAGAGAGAAACATCAATGATGAGAGAGAATCATTGATTGGCTGCCTCCTGCACACTCCTTACTGGAAGATGGGACTGGTATCGGTAACCCTTGAGTCTACAGGCTAATACTCTATCCCAGGTGATGCAATCCACTGCTCAAGGGCAGCATTCCTCAGCCTTTCTCCTGTCTCCATCACAACCACAAAAATGTTTATAGTGAGATAATCTGTAATAGCCAAACACCCCAATTGCATTAACAGAGATTTGATAAATTGTGGTATGTGCATATGATGGGATACTAGGGAACAGTGGAAATGAAAAACAGTTCAACACTCACCTGAATGAAACTCACATAATGTTGAGGGAGAAAAAGCAATTTACAGAAGAATGCATATGATATAGGTCAAGAACGGGCCTGAATAACATGTTTGGGGCTCTTGTTTGGTAAACATGTATGAAAAAACAAGAGGATGAGGGGTACACATATTAGGAATGTGATTGGTTGAAGGGTAGGAAGGAGGAAAATGTGTGGGGAACACACAGGAGATTTCCACAGAGTTGTGAAGTGTTCTGTTAAACTAGGAATCTTCTGATAACTGGGGCAAAAACTATCCCCAAGGAGAATCAGGTTAGAAAGAGTTATATAGGGCAGGGCTAGGGAGAAGTGTTATCAGAGATACCTGTTGGGTGAGAAATGTTCCTCCCAATAACAGAGAAGTTGTGGAATATGAATATATATATTCATATATATTATATATTCATATATATATAATTTTGAAATTATATATATATATAATTTCAGAGAGGAAGGGAAAGGGACAGAGAGATAGAAACATCAATGATGAGAGAGAATCGTTGATTGGCTGCCTCCTGCACACTCCTTACTGAGAGATTGGGCCGATATTGGTAACCCTTGAGTCCACAGCCTAATGCTCTATCCACTGAATCAAACTGGCTAGGGCTGGACTTTCTGAAGTCCTAGAATTTAGATATGATGACTGAATGGTAGATGTGACGTTAAGTATAGAAAATGAACTTATAAAGATGACAGATACTTCATATCAGGATAAAGCAGTGCATAACACTAACCTATGATCAGAACTCAAAAGTTTGAGTTTGTTGGTTGTGCCTTTTTTTCTTTGATTTATTCATTCACTAAATATTTACTGGGTTATAAATTAGTTTCCTAGGCCTACTATAACAGAGTACCGCAAACTGGGTGGTTTAAAGATAAATAAATGAGTTTAAAAAAATAATTTAATTTAGCTGTGACCTTCTGGGGCTCTGGGATTTTTTGTTTGGGTATTTAAACAATTTGCTCTTTTAAGACTCTGAAGTTCTATGAACAAGTTACAATATGTTCATTAGTGCGCCATAAACTGGAGAACTTCAACAGCAGAAGTTTCTTGTCTCATAAGAAGTTCAAGTCCAAGGTGTTGGCATTGTTCATTCCTTTAGGGAAGAATCTATTCCAGGCTTTATCCTTGGTTTCTTGATCTTACCCCTGTGACTTCACATCATCTCCTCTCTATGTCCAAATTTACTTTTTTTTAAAAAGGATATTAGTCATGTTGGATCAAAGGCCATTCTAATGACCTCACTTTAAATTGATTCCATCTGCTATGATCCTATTTCCAAATAAGGTCATATTCTGAGGTAGGAGTGGAGGATAAGATTTTGGCAAGCGAATCTGGGAAGGACACAAATCAACCCATAACAACATGCTAATTGTCTACTTCATGGATTTTTCTCTTTTTCTTTTTTTAAAGATTGTTCATGGCAAGTCAAAGCAAATGACCGAAGCTTCCACGAACAGCCCCAATTTATGAACACCAAGTTCTTTTGTATCAAGGAGAGCAAATATGCGGTAAGTTGATTTTAACTGCCTACATTGTCTTCACTAAAAGCCAGTTTTCTCCAATGATCAACCTGCTTGCCAGCTTCATGTGACACCTGTCTTCTAGATAACCCCTGGCCCTGGGGCCATGACAGTCATTGTTAGTTCTATTGAATGTCCTAGCTGTAAGTTTAGCTGCCCTGAGGCTGTCTAAGGATGGCTTGAAACAAAACAAAATTACGTAGATTGAAATTTTGTCTATGTATTTGCAAAATTCTCTTATGAAAGAATATACAGTCATATCACAGAAACTTTATGTTCAAAAGTAAGAAAAAGTTTTAAAAAATCTTAATAAGTTATTTCTCCCTTTCCTGCCTATGATAGACTTAGAGATTTTGAAGATATTTTCACCTCCAAAATGCTTATTACCTTGGAAATATCTAAAGGACACCTGTGCAGCATGGGCTGAAATGTTGTCTGTTAGCTCTCTAGGACTGCTACAAGGAAGGACCATCCACTGGTGGTTGAAAACAACAGAAAGCCATTGTCTCACCGTTTCAGAGACCAGAATCCCAAAGGAGGGTGTTAGCAGGGTTGGTTCCTTCGGGAGGATCTGAGGAATGGTCTGTTGCAAGCACCTGGCCAGCTTCTGGCAGCAGCTGACCGTTCTCACCATCCCTTGGCTTGTAGGAGCATCCCTCTCGTCTGTCTGTCTTCACATGGACTTCTCCCTTGTTTCTCTTTTGCCCAATTCTCCTTCTTTAAGGCCTTCAGAATTGGATTAGGGCCCACCTTAATCCAGAAGGACTCATTGTAACTTGATTACATCTGCAAAGACCCTATTTTCAAATGAGGGGACAGACACATGTGTCAGGGGTAGGACTTGAGTATAACTTTTGGGGCACACAGTTCAGTCCATAATGGTGTCTGTTACTCTTTCTCACACAGCAGCTACCATGCCTCCTTAAATAGAAAGTGTATCTTCCCCTCCTGCTTTGCCGCCCATGTTGACATCTCCCTTTGTCCTGTTTTCTAAGAGGCTCTAAGGGGTCAAGGATATAGCAGGGCCTGTTTTGGTCACAGTTGGATTTGCCAAAGACTTCTGGGTGAAATGTCTGCATCTTAATACCATCTCTGATTTAGGCCTCCAAAAAGTCGTTTTGATGCCAGATTAGAATTAGAAGATTAAAGGAAAGAAATCTCACTATCTTTCTTTGGGATAAATGACATCTCAGTGTCACTGTTGGCTATGGGGCTTAGTGCTTTTGCAGATGTATGTACATTGTGATAAATGTGTGGTGTGGTTTAGAATGACTTTCTTCTTTTTTTTCCAACAGGGCAATGCAATCAAAACATACAAGTATAATGCCCTTACCTTTCTACCAATGAATTTGTTTGAGCAGTTTAAGAGAGCAGCCAATTTCTATTTCCTGGTCCTTCTTATCTTACAGGTAATGCCCTTTGATATCTTAAAATCTGTTTTGAATTATGATGACTCAGTAACATTTATGTTGTGGATGCATATAACTCGACTAATCTTAAAAGTTTTTATATTAACATCAGGGTGATGCTCATACAGGAATATGCTTTATGCACAGAACTGACTCCATTGGTGCTAAGTGAACAGGGAAAGGGAGAAAATAGAAATGTTATTTTAATTCTGTATTTTTAAAAATTCCACTTTATACTGATGTGAATTTAAAACTGGCTTCCCTTATGTGAATCCAGTTAAAATCTTTACATTGTAAAATTATTTTTGTACCTTGAAATTAAATCTATTGTTTATATTTCTCTTCCATTTTTTACTTAAATGCCTACCTTCCCCAAGTATATTATTGATTTCCATTCATATTTTAGTCATAAATCTCAATAAATTATTTTTTGTGATAATGTTTTACATTGGAAAAGGCCAATTTTTTCCTGAATTTTAATTTTTTCTTTATTGTGACCAAAAAAACCCTCACTTATCTGAAGAGCATTAATTTTATCTGTTTTGGAGCTGTTAAAATCACAGGAACTCTACCACTGGGAGTATCATCCATTAGCATCTCATATACAGGTTACCGAGGATGGCACATCCTCTTGGTTTTACCACATTTTTTACACTGAGCATTGGATCTCAAAAATAGTCTCACCTGCTGGGATTCACCTAGGAAGGTTTTATGAGAATGGTAGCATATGTGTCTAGGTGGGGATGGAGATGTGTGGAGTGGAGAGGAGAGAGAGAGAGAGAGAAAACAGGAAAGAGAGAACAGAGAGAGAGAGAGAGAGAAAACCACACACAGAGAGAAATAGATACTCATCAGATTTAATGGAATGTAAGACCTGCTGACTCCACAGTGCAGGATGGTCATGTTATCATGAGGGACCTTTGAGATAGGCTTGGAGAGATAAACTACAAATTATAAAGTCCCACTGTTGTGAATGGATGACTTTCCCCTTCCTTCCTTCTAGCAGGGAAAGGGGAATTACACATATTGACAATAATGTGGAAAATGATCTTTGTCTCCTTTAATGGCTCCAATTTCTGTCAAGTACAGCAATCCAATGTGGGTAATAGGAGCAGCCTGAGACAGCCCTTTCCTTGCACTGTTACCTCACTTGCTTCTTATGCTCTGAGTTGAGTACTACTGTAACCTGCATTTTGCAGAGAAATGAGACCTGGCAAGAAAAAGGAACTTGGTCCAAGTCTGGTGGTCCATAAGTGGTAGAACTGGGCAGGATTTGGGTCCAGGACCTTGACTATAAGGCCTGCCATTTTAAGCAGTATGTATGGCCCGGTGATCAATTAGATCAGTGGTTCTCAACCTTTCCAATGCCACGACCTTTCAATACAGTTCCTCATGTTGTGGTGACTCCCAACCATAAAATTATTTTCGTTGCTACTTCATAACTATAATTTTGCTACTGTTATGAATCCTAATGTAAATATCTGTGTTTTCCAATGGCCTTAGGCTCCACAGCAGCAGTTCTCAATTTGTAGGTTGAGAACCATAGGTTGAGAACCGCTAGCAGGGTCGCCTAAGACCATCGGTAGATGGTAACAAAAAAATCTTCATTAAATTTTGTTTCCAGTCTTTTATTCCAATTTGTATGCCATTTTGATGGATGTCTGACTTTCTGTAAGGCCAGCCTCTTTTTTGCCTGGACCAATAGCAATGACACTGAAGGACGTGCTTTCTTCTAGTGCCCCCAGAGATGTCCCATCCAATCATTAGCTTTCAGAGCCAGCCACCGCCCACTGCCATCTTTGCCTGTATCTGAGCCCCCAGGCTCAGCCCCGAGCAGTGAAGAGCCTGCTGTATGCATTCCCTCAAAGTGAAAGGACTCCTTCCACCCATACCCAATGCTACCCTCCCAGTTAATTGGGATTTTTCGCACAAAAAATTGGAGCATTTCTTCTCTACGGTCATGTTACAAAGCCTCCTTGGTGTTCAGTTAAGGTCACAATGAGACAATTTCAGAAGCCACTGTTCTCTGGGCTCTGTTCCGGGAGGCCAGAGGCTAGAGAGAAGGCAGGGGATAAGAGGAAGACTGGCTAGATGTGTAGACGCCTTTTCTCTGTTTTCTGCAAGATGCACACTTGGGTGGGTGATGATGAAGATTAGACTTTGAACTAGTAAGCTTAGAATTAGCAGTTACCTGTGGGTTTGCCTTCATGGGCACACATGTATGCCTTTTTGTCTCTTCCAGGCCATCCCTCAGATCACAACCCTGGCGTGGTACACCACGCTGGTGCCCTTGCTTTTGGTGCTGGGCATCACGGCAATCAAAGACCTGGTGGATGATGTGGTAAGGATTTCCCATGAGATGCTCCCCTCGTGGCTGCAAGCTTATTTTTTAGTTTGGCATTAACACTTCACATTTTGAGATTATTAAAATAACCTTTCTCCATCTCTCTTCTAAAGGCTCGCCATAAAATGGATAACGAAGTCAACAACAGGACATGTGAAGTCATTAAGGATGGCAGGTACTGTCTGTCAATGGTGACCTAGTTACAAAGCTCTAGTGCGTAAATATGTCTAGAAACATAGTTGGAGATAACCATTAGAAAGTCTAGTGGCGCATTCACCCTCTAAAATTCCTTTTAAGACTTTGTACTCCCTTTGTGACCTGGAGGCTCTACCCAAATTGCATTATGAGAGGTTGCCGATTAGGCTGCGTGATTGGCCTTGTGTTTACACAACTTCTTCAGTCTGGAATGTGCTGCTCCCATCTCTTCTGGGGACAAAAGATGAGACACCCACACACACAATTCAAATGAGATTCAGATCTTAATGAGAAAGGTGAAAACAAGATGTTCTGAAAGTTCAGGGAAGGAAGGAATCGCTTTAGCTGGTGTCAGGCATCTGATTAAAGCCCTGCACAGCAGCAGAGTTGGGGCAGGGCAACAAGGGACTCCTACAGAGACCTGAACATCCCTGCAGAAGAGTCCAATGGGATTGCCTTTTTCGCCTGCAGAGAGCTGGTGGCAAGAAGGTGCTAACTTGTTTAGTTATCATTTGAGACCCATTGCAAATTGCTAATTTACAGTTTTAGAGATATTGAAATGTAAACTAATTACAATTTCATTTCATTCATTGAAAGCCAATTTTAAAAAATCTGGGCTTACGGATTGTGTGATAAATTCTTGGAAAACCAGGGAAATGAGCATGTTCATATGTATCTAAAATGTATTGTAAATCTCTAGATCTTTTTTATCCATAAATTTATGGAGGACAAACATAGTAATCGAATTCCTGCCTCCAAAAAGTTAAGTTTATTCATTGTGTAGGTTCATAATATCTGTTGGGAACATCTTTTCTATATGTGAAAAACCTTTAAAACAGACTATATTTTAAAACTTTTAAAAATGTTTATTTGTCAGAAATTTAAATGGTATTGCCTATGCAGTTTGATGCTGAAGGTAGTCATTGTTTTATTTATTTTACATTTTATCAATACCCTTATTAGACTTATTATGAAAGTGATACAAACCCATTTAAAAGGTAATTTAAATTTTAAAGTTCCATGAGGATTCTAGGTGGCCCATGTGGGAGCTATAAGGGGTTGTTGTCCTGGGACCACCCAGACCTGCAGCTGAAGAGGTAATGGATAATGGAGAGACAGGAGAGCCCTGGCCGGGTGGCTCAGTTGGTTAGAGCATTGCCCCAGACACCAAAAGGTGGCCTGTTCGATTCCTGGTCAGTACACATACCTAGGTTTTAGGTTCAATCCCTAGTAGGGGTGTGTACAGGAAGCATCTGATCAATGTTTTTCTTGCACATCGATGTTTTTTTCTCTCTCTCTCTTCCTCCCTCTCTCGAAAATCAATAATAAAAAAATAGTTTCACCTTAGTCAGTTTGGCTCAATAGATAGAGTGTTGGCCTGTGGACCAAAGGGTCCCAGGTTTGATTCTGGTCAAGGGCATGTACCTTGGTTGCAGGTTCCTCCCCAGCCCGGGCCCTGGTCAGTGTGTTTCTCTCACATTGATGTTTCTCTCTGTCTTTCCCTTTCTCTTCCACTCTCCCTAAAAATCAATGGAAAAATATTCTCGAGTGAGTATTAACAACAACAACAAAAAAGTTTCCCTTGATAGAATAAAATAAAAAGAGGACAGGAGTGGTGAGAAAAAACAAAAATAGTGGCATGTGTCTCCTGGCCACACGTTGAATTAGCCCCCTTAACCCTTCATTATATGATGGGGGGTGGAGGGGAGGAGACAATCACCATCATCACCATCATCACCATCATCGTTGCTTTTTCAGAGGATAACACGGTTCTCACGACCCCTTAATGGGGCTATGTCATTAAATGGCTGAACTTTTTGTCAAACTTTTCCTGTGATTTTCATGTTCTCCCAGAATTTTTGGCTTCCTGAAAGAATAATGCCAGATCTCTTGTCAGTAACTTTTTTTTTAAACACCCATAACCTATCTGTATTTTTAATATTTAGATTCAAAGTTACCAAGTGGAAGGAGATTCAAGTTGGAGATGTCATTCGTCTAAAGAAAAATGATTTTATTCCAGTAAGTGAATAAGCTCGCATCTCATTCCTCATTCTCCCATCTGACTTGGCGCTCGGTCTGGCCTGGGGTCTCTGTGCCACTGATGTGTTTTGTTTTGAACAGGCTGACATCTTACTGCTGTCCAGCTCTGAACCCAACAGCCTCTGCTATGTGGAAACGGCTGAACTGGATGGGTAAGTGAGTTTCAGGTGGGCCTGCGTTAAAGCTTTCCTTGGAAGGCTCAGTCCGAGACGTTAAAGCTGTGCCTGGAATGGAAGCCCTGAGAGCTGGCCTGGCCTCTACCACGTGCTCTCTGGCTAGCAGTGTCCCTAATCAATCAGCCTCCCTGTCTGATTCCATTTATAAAGCCTGCCTTTCCCCACCTTTCGTGCCCTACACCAGTGTTCAGACACGTTCGAATGATATTAATACAATCTACTTTAGAAAAAAAGAACAGATTGTCAGTCTTTGCCAGTAGATAGTTTTGAATTCTCCCTTTGTTGGTCTTGATTATTGTGCTTCCACTTGAAAGAGAGTAAAGGCCTGTTTTTTTACTAGTTTTCAGTACGTTTATTGAGTGCCTACTAGGTTACATTAGATTAATGGTTTAGCTCCTTTAATCTCCTCACCAACTGTGTGTTGAGACAAGTAATATTACTACCTTGACATTGCCCAGGAGGAAACTGAGGCCAGGAGGTGAAGTAGCCTGTCTGAGGTAACACAGTAAGTGTCAGAGTTGGGCCGCTGCTTGTGTAAACCCCTTTCCTCACAGCCTAACTATGCATATGCCTCTTTAAGGAGAGCTGAAATCATCGAGTAAAACCTAGATCTTCCTCTGTTCCATAAGCGAGTCGGAGGATGTTCCATCTTAACTATGAAGCAGCTGTTATTCCCATGAGTGAGAATAGTGAGCGGGTAGGACATGCCAAGATTTGGGCTTGGAAAAAGAGGATTATCTTTCAAAGACATGGAATCTACTTCTTCACTCTGGACAGTTGACAGTCTAGACACTTTCTGTAAAAAATATGTTTTGTAGAATCACCTTAGTGTGATTAAATATTAGAAGCTAAGTTGCTAAGTTGATAGTTTAGGCTGGTCTAAGAGTTTAGTTAGAAGGAGGCAGGAGCATTTCTGGATGCTTCTGTCTGGCAGGAATGTTGGAAACATTTCCCAGGTCCGGAGTTTTTCTGTCCAAATCTGAAGTTCCAAGATGATCAGAGAGTTTGAAAATAAAAAAATAAATTTAAAAAAACCTAATTATTTAGCTTTTGCTTCTGGGATTGCCTAATGTTACTTTGAACAATTGAATTCTAAAATTTGTCTGTTTAATTTTTTACCCCCTCTCTCTAGAGAAACCAATTTGAAGTTCAAAATGGCACTTGAAAGCACACACCAATATCTCCAAAAGGAAAGTTCATTGGCAACATTTGATGGTTTGTGAAAACACGTCTTCCTTTGTTTTAAATTTCAGTTGCTTGATTCATTCCCTATTCATTAAAGTTAAAAAATCTTGCATGAGTATTTATGTGAGTCATATCTCTTTTAAAGGTTTTATTGAATGCGAAGAACCCAATAACCGACTAGATAAGTTTACGGGAACGCTCTTTTGGAGAAACACAAGTTTTTCTTTGGATGCTGATAAAATTTTGTTACGTGGCTGTGTAATTAGGAACACCGAATTCTGTCATGGATTGGTCATTTTTGCAGGTACTTTCGAAGTTTCTTGGGAAATTGATATAATAGGTACTTTCAAGATGTTCTTCTGTTCTTTCTCCATTGAAACCAAAGAAAGAGTAGTTTTATCCACAGGCCAGTGCATTGATTTTTTCCAATTATTGATCATATTGAATTCTCCGTTTCTAGGTGCCGACACTAAAATAATGAAGAATAGTGGGAAAACCAGATTTAAGAGAACTAAAATTGATTACTTGATGAACTACATGGTTTATACGGTATTTATTTTCTTTTTCTGTTTAAGAGAGGCTACATTGCCATCTTGTGTTCTAATTTCATTGTATATTTTTCTAGTACAAAGAAATCTTACCTCTGTAGGCTAGGTAGAAACAGGCATGAGTCACTTCAAGGTAGGAGTGGGGAGAGAAGCTTCTTTGATTTTTCTCAGAAAGGTCACATTCTAAACCAGGAGCTAGATAAGTTACTGGGGCTGGGCTCCTGAAGTTAAGGTAGGATTGACTTCACGATTAGTTCCCCATACGGGTAGTTCTGTTAAAAGCAAACGTTTTTCCAACATACACTGTATAAGTCCAAATACAAGGCAAGCCTAAATCTAATGTATGTTGGGAATCCACAAGACATACCCCAAGGCTTGAGGACTCCCAGAATTCAGCATAAAGGTGCACTCCCATCTCTGACTTATTATAACTTATACTCTAAGATCAGCAAAGGCAAAAGGCTCCTGGGGCAAAGTCTGGAGGAAGCCAGGCACAAGCTTCCAGAGTCCTTTCCCAGTTGAGTAACACAGTTAATTCCCTCAGCAACAATTGGTGACAGCCCATTGTTAAATGTTGCCTCCACCAGAGAAGCTCATTAGAGACTCCATGCCTGGGGCTGTACTGGGGTCTGATCACGTAGGCACTGTCAGCCTGGGATCACCAGACTTCCAGGTTCTCGGAAGGAGAGCAGTGGTCCTCATAAGACATTCACCAAGAGGCATAATGAACCATTCTTATCAGAGCATAAGAAATAAGGAGTCTGGCCCGGCCAGTGTGGCTCTGTGGCTGAGCATCAACCCATGCACCCAGGAGATCTGTCAGGGCATATACCTAGATTGCGGGCCCGATCCCCATTAGGGGGAATGCAGGAGGCAGCCGATCAATGTGTTCTCTCATGGATGTTTTAGTCTCTTTCTCTCTCTCCCTTTCTCTCTCTCTCTAAAATCAGGTGGGTTTTTTCTGTTTTTGTTTTTTAATTTAAAAAAAGAAAGAATTAAGGAATCAGGAAACTTGCCCAAAATCTAAGTTCCCAGATGCCAGCTAAGGCCAAGCTTGCAAGCAGGCCTGCTAAGGATAGCAGTCTCAGGCCTGCTCCTTAGGGTAGCCCCAAATACTAAATGCTCCTCCAAGTTCCCAAAGAGAACTAATTTTAAAAAGTATTTTGTTTAATTTGAATATGTGTGTGTGTATATATATATATATATATATATATATATATATATATACACACATACACACTTATAGGAAGGATATAATACTTATAAAACTTTACTTGCATATACATATTTAAAATCATGTTTGGCTCGGTGAATAGAGCGTCGATCTGTGGACTGAAAGGTCCCAGGTTCGATTCTGGTCAAGGGCATGTACCTTGGTTGCGGGCATATCCCTGGTAGGGGTTGTGCAGGAGGCAACTGGTCAATGTTTCTGTCTATCCTTGTTTCTAGCTCTCTATCCTTCTCTTTTCCTCTCTGTAAAAAAAATCAATAAAATATATTTTTTTAAAAACTGAAAATGTTCATTAAATTTTTTTTTAAAAAGAAACAATTATTTTTCTCTGCTCACATATTTCATGAAAACTTGTTTTGAATTTTTATGTGCATCTTCACTGTCTTGCTTTGACTAAGACTAGAGCACTCACAATGAGCTCATCATCTCTCCTCCTTGTGGCAATTTGTTTTAAGATACAGAACTTTGTGAATCTGTCCAGAAATTCAAATATGTCCCTGGAAATTTTATTACTACCACAAGTACCCAAATACTACTAAACAGTTGACTTTTTATTCATCCCTTAAGTATATAATCATAATTTCCACAACAGAATACTTACTATATTGTTTCTTAAATGATATTAAACATGAAATGATCATTAAACTTTTAAGAATTATTACCCAAATCTGGGTGAAATTTGCTTGCCTTTAAAAAAAAGTAATTTCCATTAAATATTATCTATAAGCATCCCATTAAACATTTGAAATTCCTTCATACTAAGGTAAGGTATCTTTCCCAAACAGTGTGTTATTGTTTAAAATAAAAGTAACTGAGAGAATGTGGTACAAAATGAGGGTTTTTAAGGATTTGAATGTAAGACACTATCTTCAGAAATATAATTTTGGAATAAAACCTCACTTCATAATGGAATGTAGGATAAATCAATCATCATAGAAATCAAATAGACTTTCAAAGCATTCTTATGGCACTGTTTCTATTTTAATTTTGTTGTTTTTATAGGCTACTAAATTATCATAAATGTGTAAAGTAGTTAGTATCTATGAAATTCACCAAGTGGGAAATCCTGCAGAATGCTACACTTTAATTTTGTATTTCTTCTAGATCTTTGTTCTTCTAAGCCTGATTTCTGCTGGTCTTGCCATTGGCCATGCTTACTGGGAAGCTCAAGTTGGCAATTTTTCTTGGTACCTTTATGATGGAGAAGACTCTAGCCCCTCCTACCGTGGGTTCCTCAATTTCTGGGGATACATCATTGTTCTAAACACCATGGTGCCCATCTCTCTCTATGTCAGGTAAGGCTGTCTACATTTGGACCTTTGCTTTAAAGGAACACGTTTTTACAGCTTGATGCCTTTCTTTCTAGCAATAATTGTTTCAAAGGTCATAACTAACAAGTAAGAAAATAACTTTCATTTCAGAATTGGGGGAATGCAGGGAAAGGAAGTGAACAATTGGTTGTCTGCTCTGTGCCAGGCTCAGCTTGTATCTCAGCCTGTTGACTGATAAGACTACTATTGGAGGTCAGAGATCGAACCCTCCTCCTGTAATCATTCGCTTAATAAGATCCCTTCTCTGTGGCTTCAAAACCCAAACTTCAAAAAGAGACTGAGAAAAAGGATGTCATAGGAAAATTTAATCGCTTCCTTTTTAGGAGCCTTTCTAAATTCTTATCTGCCTCTTCCTTATTATCCTTCTCTCCCCCATTGCAGCTGCCACTTCCGTTCCTTGTAAAACACATTGGACTTCCTGGCCACGAACTTCCCATGGGAATGCCACTCTCCCTGTCCCCCTTAAGCCTCTCAAAATGTTTTGTTCTTAATCTCAGTCATAACACAGTAAAGGGCAGTCTCGAGCCTCTGACAAATGGTAACCTCCTGGTTTTGTGCTATTTCTTATTTTTTTACTTTTTCTTTCTTTCTTTTGTTTGTTAATTCTCAACTGAGGATATTTTTCCCATTGTCATTTTAGAGAGAGTGGAAGGGAGGGGAGAGTGAGAGAAGAGAGAGAGAAAAAGAAAGAGAGAGAGAGAGAGAGAGAGAGAGAGAGAGAGAGAGAGAGAGAGAGAGAGAGAGAGAAACATCGATTTGAGGATTTGAGAGAAACACATGGATTGGTTGCCCCCTCCGCATGCCCCGAATGGGGTCGGGGGTCAAACCTGCAGTCCAGGTATTTGCCCTTGACCAGGAATAGAACCAGCAATTCTTTGGTGTGTGAGATGGTGCTCTAACCACTGAGAAATGCTATTGAGGGCTACTTTTTTCCTTCTTTAATATCCAAGTTCATTGTCATTGGTCATTTGGATTTTAGACCTTGGGGAGAGGGATTGTGTCTTGAAATGTACTCAGCAGCCAGAGTCTGCTTTTAGTTCCAGTAGATAATAACCCAGAGGCACACAGGGTCAGATACACACCTGTAATTAGAAGCATTTATTTTATTTTAATTTTATTACATGTGCATTCGTGTGTTCTTTAATTTTATTACATGTAGTTATTGTTGTTTTTTAACATGAAGTAAAGCCCAGGGGAGCCATCTGTTTGCAGATGGCTGTAAGAAACTCTGAGATGAGTTTTACCTTTGTCAAGGAGCTCACACCCAGATTATTTTGCCTAAAACTATAAATGTAATTTATAAAATAAGCTGTATGTGTAGTTATTGTTTTAAAAAAGTCATGTCATGTGACTACTGGGTTCTTTATTTCTCTTGGAAATAAAGGCCCTTTTAAGGCAAGAGTCAGATCAGGTCATTCCAGATAGTATCTCTGCTTTGTGTTCAACCTGCAGTAGCTCTGTTTCCTTCAGAACAAACTCAGTGAGGCACACCATAACCCACAGGCCCAGCTGCTCTGAGGCTCTGCCCTTTTCCACCTCCAACCGAAACCTCCTGGGCTCCCACCATTTTCACCTTTTTGATACGCTCCGGGGTGCCAGCACCTTCATGCCTCCTCTTATAGAACATCCTTCACCCTGTATCTACATAATGGCTTTTTCATTTCCCTCAGCTCTCTGCTCATCTTATCGCCACCTGATCACTTGGCCTTTCCACCCACTCTATCTTAAATGTCACTTCTGTTTCCTGCCGGTCTCCATCTCTCCTTACCCTGCTTTGATTTTTCTCCAGAGAAATTTCACCACCTGATATCTGTTTACTTGTCTTTTTATTTTTCTGATTCCATTAGAAGGTAACCTCCTTGAGAGTGGGGAGTTTGTCTGCTCTATTTACGAATGTGTCCCCTCCCCTGTACCTAGAATGGTGTCTGGTCAGAGCAGGCACTCAGGAAGCATTTATGGAAGGAGGAAGGGAGTGATCCATCTGTGAACTTGTTATAAGGCATCTTTGCCCACTTAACATTAGCTGGATATGTAAACAGTTTCCTTATAATGGGATATATGTAATCATTTAGGGTTTTAGAATTGAGATGATCCTCTTAGAATATCTTATTTTGGACATTCAATAGTCCCTAAGAACTTAGGGGGAAACTATGCTTTTTCAGAGGGTAGAATCACAGTCTAGGAGTTATTTGCCAAGAGCCCTTTTCCTTTCTGGAGAGAGTGCAGGGTCTGTAACCTTGGTGAACTTGCCCTAGAATTGGGGTGATGGTGACCATGGCCATTCCAGTTGTGCCCAAGTTCAGTGGAGAATGAGAGAAAAGCGAGTGAGATTAGCCACATGGTGCCCTCCACATGCCACCAGGTCACTTGTCCCACTGGGCTGTGTTGGAACGTGGGGCACTGTGTTGGAACATGGGGCCCTGTGGCCACAGCTGGGTGTGCTCAGGAGTGAGTGGGAATGAGAAGGGCACTTTGGCCCTAAACCTAGAGAAAGGTAAGTTTGGTCAGGAGAACCCAGAAGCTGGGCACCTGGGCTACCACCTGGCTTGTGTCTTTGTAGGTAAGCAGCTCGCTCTCCTGTAGGATAAAAACCCACCATCTGCCAACTCATGTCTAAGAATTCTGTTAAAAATAATCTTCTGTCTTCCTAGTGTGGAAGTGATTCGTCTTGGACAGAGCTACTTCATCAACTGGGACCTGCAGATGTACTACTTTGAGAAGGACACGCCTGCAAAGGCAAGAACCACGACGCTGAATGAGCAGCTTGGGCAGATCCATTACATTTTCTCTGATAAAACAGGGACTCTCACACAAAATATCATGACCTTTAAAAAGTGCTGCATCAATGGGCAAATATATGGTGAGTGGAAGCCGTTCCTCAGCCCCTCGGCCTGTGTGACCAGAGCCTGCCTTCCCAGCATTGCTAGTGCCCTCCCAGTACAGAGCCCCGAGCTCCTCCTGGGCTGAATCCTGAAGCCAGAGCACTGGTGGCATCAGGAACACATGGTGGGAGGGGTCAGCCATCAGAAATAGGCACACATCCCTCAAAAAATTAAACTCAAAATTGCTATGTGATCCAACAATCCCACTTCTGGTTATACACCCAAAAGAATCAAAAGCAGGGATTGATGCAGAGATATTTGCACACAGATGTTCATGGGAGCATGATTCGCAGTACTGAAAGCGTGGAAGTAACCCAAATCTCAATTAATGAATGAAAAGATAGAGAGTGCTATATATACACAATGGAATATTTAGTTTTATAAAGGAATAAATTCTGACACATGCTTCAATATGGGTGAACCTTGAGGACATTATAGTCAGTGAAAGGAGCCAGTCACAAAAGAACAAATACTGTATGGTTTCACTCATATGCAGTGTCTTATCTAGAGCAGTCAAATTTCTAGAGACAAAAAGTTGAATGGTGGTTGCTGGGGAGAGGGAATTATTATTCAGTGAGTTTAAGTTTTACCAGATGAAGAATTATGCAGATGGATGGTGATGATGATTACACAACAGGAGTTTACCACTTAATGCCACCAAGCAGTACACTTAACAATGGTTAAAATGATAAAATTTTATGTTATGTGTATTTCACCACAATTATTTCTAAGTTGATTTCCATTTTAATGTTTTGAAATGTGCTGTATACTTATAAAAATATTAAGGCTAATACTATATTCAATTAGAGTGCTCTTTTATTTAATACAATTTTTAAAAAAGCTTTAAGAACACTGTATGTTTTCCACTTGTAGCAAACTTTATACTGGGAATGTGTTCTTACTAACAAATATCCGTGAGAAAGGTGGGACTTGGCGGGGGGGGGGGGGGGTGCGGGGAGGAAGGGAGGGGAGAGAAGGGCAGAGGGTAAGGGAAAAAGCTAAGGAAATGATTCTCGTGTGCCCACTGACAGTGCCTTCTGAGCTGTGGGAGGTAAAGAGCTTCGAATGACATGGTCTGGGCCCAGAGGACATTGCAGCGTAGAGGACACAGGCACCCTGTTTGAACCTCCAAGAGTCATCAAGCTTTTTCTACAAAGAGCCAGATAGGAGATACCTTAGCCTTTGCACGCCATATGCAGACTATATCAAATTTTTTGTGTGTATATTTTTATAATTCTTGAAAAATATAAATAAAAACCATTTTTGACCCAAGGGTTGTCCAGAAATAGGCTATGAGACCCATAGAACCACCACCAACGTGGACCCAAAGCAGGGTGAAGAGGGAACTCTGGACACGGATGGAGACTCAGCTGGTTTTGTCCTGTTTGCTTTTCAGGAGACCATCGGGATGCTTCTCAACACAGTCATAGCAAAATAGAGGTGAGTCCTTTAGCTTAAGGAATCGTGGTGGTGTGAATTGGTTTCCTAGAGCTGCTCTAACAAATTACCACAAAATGGATAGCTTACCACAACAGAAATGTCTTCTCTCACAGCCCTGGAGGCCAGAAATCTGAAAGCAAGGTGTCCGTGGGGCCACACTCCCTCAGAAGGCCCTAGGGAAGAACATTTCCTTGCCCCTTCCACCTTCTGATGGTTGCCTACAATTCCTGGTCTTCCTGGGTTGCAGATGTCTGCCTCTATCATCACACGGTGTTCTCCTTGTGGTGTCACAATGTTCCTCCTTTGGATTGGGCCCACCATAACTCAGTATAACCTCATTTTAACTAGATCACATTTGTGAAAACCTTCTTTCCAAATAAGGTCATTCCCAGATCGCAGGGGCTATAATGTCAACATAGCTTTTGGGAGCCATAGTTCCAACCCACAAGGTATCTTTTAGCTTTAAGACAGGAGTGAACCTTTTGACAGTTAAGAATATGTTGAAGTCCTACAGTGATTTTTGCATAAAGACTTAACTTCAAATAAAAGTTCATATCATTTGTTAAGCCCAAATTGTGTGTGTGTGTGTTTTAATTACATTTTCTTTTCCTTTTCCTCGTCTTTCTTTCAGCAAGTTGACTTTAGCTGGAACACATATGCAGATGGGAAGCTCGCCTTTTATGACCATTATCTCATCGAGCAAATCCAGTCAGGGAAGGAGCCAGAAGTGCGACAGTTCTTCTTCCTGCTTGCAATCTGCCACACCGTCATGGTGGATAGAATTGATGGTGGGTATTTTCTTTGCACCTCAGATATTAAAGACCAGTTTTTTAGTTTATAGGTAACTTTTGCTTTGGGACTCCAATGTCTATGAAGCAGTTTGAGAAGTTTGTCTCACACTAGAGCAGTGAGCACTCGGGCACCTCCATTAATGGTAGATAGGGTAGCAAAGCATGCAACAAGGTCGTGGCCTCTGAGAACTGGTATTTTCTCCACAGCTGTAGAAGCACTTATCACTTTGTAAATGAAATCTTATCACTGGAAGAAATGGTTGACTCCTGAATTATAATAGGAGGATCAAATCCTTCCAGCTGTATTATTACTTACATGATTTATTGAGAATGAAGAGTCAAACCTTATCTGGATCATAAGTGGACTTTAAACATTGACAATCTCTTCTACAAGATAATTTCAAAGACAGACTTTTCTAGGTTCAGATATGTTTAGGGTTTGAAACATAATACCAATTTGAAACATAATTCCAGGCCTCTCTCTAAGGTGCCTGTTTCTCATTTGAAAGAGCATAATGAATCTGCATTTGCCTGGGAACAAGCAAAGCTGACTTATAGGCTCCTTTACAGAATTATTATTATTATTATTATTATTATTATTATTTTATTTTTAAATAATAATATTATTATTTAAATAATATTTTCTATGATGATTATGTTACTATTGTATAGTGACAAAAGAAAAAAGTGTCCTGTGCTCCCCCAAAATATTTTAATTTAACCTAATGTCAATTTTTGTTTTTATGCACTAAATTGAAGAAGCAACAGGTTTTTTTTTTGTCTACCTTAAGAATTCAAACATATACTTAAAAATATATTTTTACCTACAAAGTTGTTGCAAATATAGTTAGAAAAACAATTAAATAGTGTCTAAGAGTCTAAACACAATTTCTTAACACTGCTTGTATTTATATTTTTTTAATTAAAAGGCCTGTTTCTATTTCATATTGGTAAGATCCATACAGAGAAAAAAAGTATTCCAAGTGAATGTTGACTATAATATTCCATCTGTACATCCTTAATGGAATCTATTCTAAGAGCAAAAATTAGTGCAAAGAAATCTTAAAACTTTACTAGTTAATTTTATTGCTGATAGTAATGCTGGTATTAGAATTAATCAGGATCCAAGATTTTCATTTCCAGCAAAAAAAAAAGTTCAGAAATATCCCTGTAAAACATAAATTATAAATTAAACATAAATTATAAATCCTTTGAAGAATTATCAAATGCAGCTTGTGCCAGCTTTGTCTCAGCAAGTTCGTCCAGAATCTAAGAAAACTAGTCGTTCTCACAGATGTGAATGTATGACAAATATCTGGAGAGACATGCACATTATAGAAAGAACAAAAGGAACCCTTTGGCCTCTCTGCCTGTCAACTCTCCACTTTTCATCAGCGCAGCATAGGACGGTCCCTTCCTGCTTTCCGGCCCTGGGGTTTCCTATTTGGCAAGTATTAAAACTCCAGAGAAGGTATATGCATTAAAGACTAAGTGTCTAGAAGCCATTTGTAATATCTTTCAGTAAGTTTCAAAAGAATCCATTCTCCAAGGATGAATCTAAATAGGGCAATAAAGAGAGATAACAATAGAATTCAAATTGGGGTAGATTCATGGAAGGGACTATTAGCAGTCTAAGTGAGATAGATTTAAAGAGGGATGACATCCAGTGACCAAAGCACAGGTCAAAGTCTGCTTGACTAGCCAAGCACATTTCACTCCTATAACGGGGATCAAGTATGATATTGTTAACAGCTTGGTTCTCTGAGGTGGTTTTTTGTTTTTGTTTTTGTTTTTTTGAATGTGTGATGGTGTCATTTTCAGCGCTAACTCAGGCAACCAGCCAACTTAGACAACTGTGCATTAATCTTCTCTATTTTCTTCTCCTTTCCTCCTTCCCCTTCCCCTGGGATATAATGAGAAGAGTCCTGGACTGCGTGCTGGAGATGCGCCTTCCCAGTTTGGGTTCCTGTCATAACACTTAGTATATATTGACAGTGTCTCTGTCTGAGCACCAGCTTCCTCTGTGTTGCAGGAAGAAGGCAGGAGTTCAAAGTTTCTTCCCATCTAACACTGTGCCACTCTCCGCTAAGGCAAAGTGTTTTACATCCTGAGGAATCCTTCCTCACATAGTAGATGATAGGCAGATGCGCTAGCCACTGAGAATGGAGACAAATTGGATTTACAGAAGGTTAAAAGAATAATTCGTTTGGCATTGATACCTTGAAAGATTCCCTTGGAAGGGATCTTGGGGGCACTCCTCCAAATTTTATAGGGAAGGAAATTCAGACCCAGGAAGTATAAGGATCTGCCTGAGCATCTACCCATTATTCTAGTTGAGTCCTCTGAATTTCACTATGCTGATGTGTCTATAGTCTTTTGCTGCTGTTTTCTCTCTTTTATAAGAGTAATTGAGATTGGTTAGCCTTTATTATATATAACGTCAGTAAGAGGAAGGAGGAAACCCTTATATATATATGTTACCACAATATCTGACTAGTTCAGCAGAGTTTGTGTGGCCCTGGTGTGGAACATGTGTGGGGCCCAACGGAAGTGAGGTGTGGAGAGGTTGCATTGGTTTTTTATTGCTCTGTAATGAATTGGCATAACTCACCTCATTAGCTCACAGTTCTTTAGGTTAGAAATCTGGGCATGGCAGAACTGGGTTTTCTGCTCAGGATCTCATTAAAATCAAGGTCGGGCCATGTTCTCATCTGGAGCTCAATGTCTTCTTCCAAGCTATATGTAACAGGCATTTGCTCTAGTTACTGAGAATGGAGACAAGTTGGATTTCCAAGTGTAGGCGGTTAAAAGAGGTGAGCTTGTTGCATAATTCCGTTCCTGTGGTTGTAGGACTGAGGTTTCCATTTCCTTTCTGGTTGTCAGGGCTGCTCTCTGCTCCTAGAGGTCTCCCTCCCCCATCTTCAAAGCTAGCAGTGAAGTGTCTCCCTTCCATCAAACCCCTTTATGCTTTGAATCTCTCTCACGAGGAAGAGCTCCAGTTTATTTTTCAATGATGAGAGAGAGAGAGAGAGAGAGAGAGAGAGAGAGAGAGAGAGAGAGACATCTATCAGTTTGCCTTCTGCTCGTGCCCCAGCCAGGAATAGAACCCACAACCTGGGTATGTACCCTGACCAAGAATCAAACCCAAAACCTTTTGGTATACAGGACAACACTCCAACCAACTGAGCCACAATGGCCAGGAGCCCTGTCACTTTTAATGATTAATTTCATTGGGTTGGAAATACCCAGATAATCTTTTTGTCTTGAGGTCAACAGATCTTATCTTAATTATACTTGCAAAACCCCTTCCCGGCAGTACCTACATTAGTTTCGCTTGAATAATTGGAAGATGATGTGTGGAACCTTGGGGCTATCTCAGACTCCTGCCTCCCTCAGAGGCCACATGAGAGCAGCGAGTGAAAGAACTGGAGGCCTTTCCTTACCCGAAAGTCTTTAAGTTGGGGTGCACCAGGATTAGACAGCTGGGTTTTAGGAGGTTGGATGGGGAGACGTGGGAAGTTGATGCACAAATTGTGGGTCTGGATCAGTGAGGGGCTTTGAGAAAGATGAGAAAGCCATGACAGTGGGGGATACTCAATAAGTGATTTGAAGAGAGGCGTATGATTGAGGGCAAAGAGTCATCTGAAAGGTGATTGTTTTCAAAGCTAGTGACCAGAAGACTGGGAGTGCTGTTACTAACCAGAGGAAGCTATGAAATCAGTGTCATGAAAAATGGGATTTGTGTAATGTGAACATTTGCTTTCCCCCATCAGTTTCATTTTAAAAGAAAAGTTCTTATAATCTTGGTCAGGCACATGCCCAGGTTGCCTGCTCAATCCTGAATGGGGGGCTTGCAGGAGGAAGCCAATCAATAATTCTCTCTCATGATTGATGTTTCTAACTCTCTCCCTCTACCTTCCTCTCTGAAATCAATAAAAACATTTTTAAAAAAAAGAAAGATTCTTGCCGAAACCGGTTTGGCTCAATGGATAGAGCGTAGGCTTGGGGACTGAAAGGTCCCAGGTTCGATTCGGGTCAAGGGCATGTACCTTGGTTGCAGGCATATCCCCAGTAGGGGGTGTACAAGAGGCTGCTGATCGATGACTCTCTTTTATCGATGTTTCTAACGCTCTATCTCTCTCCCTTCCTCTCTGTACAAAATCAATAAAATGTATTTTTTAAAAAAATAAAGATTCTTTCTAGTTGACTGAGTGTCTAGTAAATAGTTTTCAGAGGATCATTTTTTCAGTCCTGCAAACATAAAATTGGAATTTGGACCAGATCTCTGAAGTTCCTCCCATCTTAGTCTGTAAGTCTGTGGTTCCATTGCTAGAACAAAATGGAAGGGTTTTCTTTGATTATAAAAATATCAGTGTTTGCTCCAGATATGATTCTTACCCTTGGGAACTTGACCACCTTTTATCATTGTGTTTCTTTCCTCTGTTGGAAATAAGTTTGCCATCCGTATGATGCAATATTCATATCTTGTTCCTGCTACCGCCTGTGCTGTGTTCTCACCGCTGCTTGTTTAGCTCTGGTTAAATATTTTGCCCTCTGGCATGTGTGTGTGTGTGTGTGTGTGTGTGTGTGTGTGTGTGTAGAATGACTGGGTTTAGTAAGTGGCATTCGTCACTCCTGCTGTATAACTTTCTCGGTGAATAAATAGAAAGGGAGAGAACCTAAAGTATCATTTGTTAATTACTAATTGGGAGTGATTAACACTGACTTAATTAGAGGAACCATCTGTGCAGAATTGCGAAGGAAGGAGGGAGGGAAGAGGTGTTCAGCTCTTCCTCCAGTTCTTTATGCCCCAGCCTCCTCCCCTTCCATGTGGTGGGGAACGCTGCCCATCCACCATGGCTTGCATCCTGGACAAACCTTGGTGGAAGACCAAATGCCTTTTTCCGTAAAATTCATCTGACCACAGAAATACTTTTTTCCTGCTTTGAGCAGAAGAATGCGAGTAGAAAACTAGGGGGTGGAGGTAGGTGAAGAGGGTATTGAGGGTGGGAAATGGTGATGGAAGGAGGCTCGACTCTGGTGGTGAACACACAATATAATATACAGATGATGTGTTATAGAATTGTACACCTGAAACCTGTGTAATTTTGTTACCCAATGTCACCCCAATAAATTCAATGAAGAAAAAAAAGGCAAAAAGAAAAAAAAAAGAGTAGAAAAATAGAAAGTCTTGGATAGGCAGAGTATTGTTGTTTTGTTTTTAACTTTTTACTTAAGTTAAAACATGTATACATGTATACAGAGACAAGCATGTATGACTCAATGAAATTTCATAAACTGATACTTTTTTGTCACAAATACTTAAGATTTTTAAAAACAGAACATTATCACTCCCCTAGAAGTTCCATTTGAGTTCCCTTCCAGTTATTGCCCCTCTAAGGGTAATTACTGTCCTCACTTTAAATAGCACAGGTTAGCCTGGTCAGTTTTGTGGTCTGTGTCCATGGGACCAGATAGGACATACTTGCACTCCACATGGGGAGACTGACTTCTATTATTGAAATGTGTTGTGTCTATAGGCGGTTTTCCATTAAGTAACTTTTAAAAAAAAATCCTCACCCAAGGATTTGGGTGAGGGAGAGGAAAAGAAACATCAATGTGAAAGAGAACATAGATTGGCTGCCTTCCATATGTGCCTCGACTGGGGCTGGAGCCCACAACTTTTCAGTGTCTTGGACGATGCTTCAGCCAACTGAGCCACAGTGGCCGGAGCTCCATTATGTAACTTTTAAAACATAAAGATACTCTATCCCTCTCCCTTCCTCTCTGTAAAAAATTAAATATATTTTTAAAAATAAAACATAAAGATACTAAAAATATTGGTGAATTATGAGGTGGTTTTTTCTTTTTTTTAATATGAGAGTATAGCTAAAGTGAAATAAATACACTCTTCTAGAGGGGAGATCAATGTGAACAACCCTTTTGGAAAACAAATGAGTCATATATACTAATAGGCTTAGAAATTATCAAGATTCTCTAGCTTAGTATTTTGCTAAGAAATACTAAGTGTGGCTCAGTTAGAATATAAAACCCAAGAAAATATAGAAGGTTATTACAGTGTTATGTTTGAGAAGAAAAAATTTTGAAAGTAAACTAGGACCTGAAATAAGAATATGGTGACATGTTAACTTTCACTAAAATAATGTTTAGAACAAATGCTTAAAGCTATGGTAACATACTCGAATATAATGTTAAAATATTCAGGATATAAGTATATATTCAGAATGATAGAAGCTGTTACAAAAATAGGCTTTTTGACCTTGTATGCATATATGCATAACCCATGGACTCAGACAGTGGTATGGTGAGGGCCTGGGGTTGTAGTGGCGGGGTGAGAAGGGGGATTAGAAGGGGTCGATGGGAGAAAAAGGGGGACATATGTAATACTTTCAACAATAAAGATTTTAAAAATACAATAATAGTAATAATAAAACAAAAAAAAGAGAAAGAAATAGGGTTTTTCAAAAGGACTGGAGGGAATAGTAACAAAATGTCAGTGTTGTTATTCCTCTAATTTAAGTGTGATGATGGGAATATTTTTCCTATTCTTAGCCAATTTTTTAAAACTTCTAGTTTATGGCCGAAGCCAGTTTGGCTCAGTGGTAGAGCGTCGGTCTGTGGACTGAAGGGTCCGGGGTTCGATTCCGGTCAGAGGCATGCACATTCCCGGTGGGGGGTGTGCAGGAGGCAGCTGGTCGATGTTTCTCTCTCATCGATGTTTCTAGCTGTCTCTCTTTCGCTCTGTAAAAAAATCAATAAAATATATATATAAAAAAAAAAACTTCTAGTTTATGTTACTGTTTATAGTTAGAAATAAACCATGAAAGTTTAACAAGTGTTAATATTGGCACACTCCTTTCTTGGGGAATGTTGGGCTCTGAGCTTGTCCTTACCCCCACAGGCACCTCAGGGCAAACTGTTGGCGATAAACTCTGCTTTGGGTCTGACAGCTGGTCTGGTTTTCTTCCTGCTCCTCTGTTAGGTCAGCTCAACTACCAGGCAGCCTCTCCTGATGAGGGCGCTCTGGTAAGCGCTGCCAGAGACTTCGGCTTTGCCTTCCTTGCCCGGACCCAGAACACCATCACCATCAGTGAGATGGGCACCGAGAGGACCTACTCGGTTCTTGCCATTTTAGACTTCAACAGTGACCGGAAGCGGATGTCTATTATTGGTAGGTCTCTCTCAAGGGTATGTCTGTGAATCTCTCATTTAGATGCTGCCTGTCACATTTGCTTTAGGACATCAGAAGAAAGCAGTGAATGAAGGAACCACTAGGCTCCTGGAAGATTTCCATAGACATAGTGAAGCCAGTGTTTTTTCTTCATTCTGCTGATGTCCATTGCCCAAGAGACAATTGCAGTAGATCTGATTTTTTTTTAAATTTATTTATTTTTTTAAAATATATTTTATTTTTCACAGAAGGAAGAGAGAGGGATAGAGAGTTAGAAACATTGATGAGAGAGAATCATCGATCAGCTGCCTCTTGCACAACCCCAATGGGGATGTGCCCGCAACCAAGGTAATGCCCTTGCCCGGAATCGAACCCGGGACCTTTCAGTCCGCAGGCCGATGCTCTATCCACTGAGCCAAACCGGTCCCGGCAGATCTGATTCTTGCAAGTGGTGATTGACACTCTTTGATGATGCAGGCTGGCAGGTGCAGCATGCTCAGAGTGGCGGCTGCAAAGCTGGCAGCATGACTCACATGTGCTTTTACCGTGTGAGCCACTCCAAACCCCTCTGGTCTACACTTGATGTCAGAGGAGGAAGAACTCAGCAGAAGAGGAGAGGATGTGCTTAGGGATAAAAAAAAAAAAATCATACCTCCAGCCCAGGCACATTACAATAGGCTGTCAAATGAAAATGAAACTTGCTTTCTAAGAGTAACAAGTCCATGATTCAAAATAATTTCAAACTTAAGGAAAATTATAAGAATGGTGAAAGAACTCCTTTATGCTCCTCCATATTCACCAACTGCTAGCATTGGCCACAGTTTCTGTTGTTTCCATTTTACAGAGGTTCTTGTTTTCTGAACCATTTGAGAGCAAATTGCTGCTCTAATGCCTTTTCCTCTAAATACTTATGTAGGTATCTCCTTAGGACAAGAACAGCCACTCATATATCCAGCAGTGATTAGACTCAGAAAATTTCATGTAATACCATATTATTATCTAATCTATGGAATGTTTTCAAATTTTACCAGAAATGTTCCTCATTCCATCACCCTTATCCTCCCCCTCTTCCCCCCCCCCCCCCCCTTTTCCTCTCTCCCTTTCTTCCTTCCTTTCTGTTGTCTTTTTGTCTTTTGTATTCAGGATCCAACCCAAGGCCACAGGTTACATTAGGTGGTTGTTACTCTGGTTTCCTTTCACCTAGAACAGTTGCTCAGCCTTTTTTGATCTTTCATACACTGACAGTTTTGAAAAGTACAGGCTCATTATTTGTAGAAAGCTCCTCCGTTTGGGTTTGTCCGATATTCCCCTGGGATCGGATTCAGCTTACACATTGTTGGCAGGATCAATATATAGATGATGCTGTGTCCTTCCCAGCACATCATATCAGAAGGCACATAATTATTGGTGATGTTAGCCTTTGATCATGAGATTTCTCTATTATGAGACTGAATTTTGCAACCAAGATAAAATACAGAACTGCCCACTGAATGCTGACTCGGCATATGTTGCTGAGTACTTTCTGTGTGCCTGGCACTAATTTGGGCTGATGAACATGCCTGGCATTTACCTTGGAGAACTTAAAATCTAGTTAACTTTGAGGCACGTGCTATAGTTAAAAAAAAATTTTTTTAAATATGCAGTAATTTTATAGTTATACCTCTGGCTGGTATGCTGAGTAGTTAGAGCCTTGGCCCACACACTGAAGGGTCCCAGGTTCGATTCCCAGTCAAGAGCATGTAATTGAGTTACAGGTTTGATTCCCACTCTGTTTGGGGTATATGCAGGAAACAACCAATCAATGTTTCTCTCTCTCTCTCCCTTCCTTTTCTCTTTTCCACTCTAAAAATCAGTGGAAAAAAAATATCCTTGGGTGAGGATTAACAACATAAAAAGGTCATGAGGAGTTATATCATGGTCTGAGTATCAAAGGCAGTAAGAATTTACAGGCAAGAAAGAGCCCTATTGGTTAGCATGGACAAAGAAGGTTCTATGGAAGAAACTAGCACAGGGCATGGACTCAATAAGTATTTGCAGAAAGAATAAGTAAGGATTTGAAAAGCTAAGTGATCAAAGGAATCTTTTCATATTTACTTTGTTAGTACATTCTATGTAGGTAGTGGCTTACCCACTTTGTTGAGAGCAACGTTTTTCCAGGTGAGTTTAATAATACACTATGAGTTTAAACTAATAGTGCATTATTAGCCCAGTGATAGTCAAAGTAACGTTATCACTGTAGTTTTCTATTAAGAAATCAAACCTAACATTATTCTTTGCTTTTCCTTTCCTTGCTGCTAGTAAGGACCCCTGAAGGCAATATCAGGCTTTACTGTAAAGGTGCTGATACTGTGATTTACGAGCGGCTACATCCGATGAATCCTACCAAACAAGAGACACAGGACGCCCTTGATGTAAGTCTCACCTTCACTCTTTATGCCACAGGTTCCAAACTCACTCTTTGCTACTGTTTCTTAAGCCAGAGGAGAGCTGTATGTTAACTGTTGATCCTTCCTAGTCTTGGTGGGGTTGAGTGGAAAGAACACCAAAGGAGGAACATTTGGTGGCTCCTGCACTGCCCCTCCTGCTGACTTCCTAGGAAATGACCATGGACCGTACCCTTTCCCAACATCCAGGTCAGCAGGAACGGCAGGATTGGCCCACAGGAATGACTGGTCTCTCTTCCAGTGACCTTGAACAAGCTACACAACCACACTGAGCTAGAGTCTTAATATCCATGTGGATCCTATGAACTCCACTAGCATCCTAGTACAGTGGTCAGCAAGTTGCAGCTCACGAGCCACGGTTTGCCGCTCTGTTGACTAATGAGTTTGCCAACCACTGTCCTAGTATATACCGAAAAAAAGAAAGCATTCATCTATGACAAGGCATGACAAAGCCATGTGTTGGATAACTGAGTTCTGATACCTTGGTTAGGAAATTGGTTTGGTTCTCATTCCTTCAAACTTGTTATCTAAGAGGACTACGTACTTAGTCCAGTGACAATTCGATCATTCAGAATGCTTCTAGAAATTTCTCTCGTGGAATTGCCTACCAATCCTCATGTTGTTTTGATTCTATAGAAGGATGGCAATGAAGTGTGGAGGATTTCTGTCAGACCTGGTGTGTCAGTTCTTTCTCTTTACTTGTTTTGTGTCCTTGGGGAAAGAAGGAGGTTGATGTCTCAGATGAATCATTCATTGTCGAGTGAAAGAGGCAGAGGATAATTTCTACTACCATGGAGGGTTGTTGCAAGGAAAAGTATCTTACACAGTTCCCAGCACTTAGTAAGTGCTTAATAAAGGGTAGTTTCTTCCCTTTACTTTAAGGGTCTGGTCCAGTTTGAAAGCCACCCAGAGGTCCTTCAGAGAGAAGCCTGATGAATATGTTGTTTATTAATTGGGGTCATATTTTAAGATTAGATATGCTGCTGCTTGGCTGGTGTGGCTCAATGGTTAAGTGTTGATCTATGAACCAGGATGTCATGGTTCAATTCCTGGTCAGGGCACATGCCTGGGTTGTGGGCTGGATTCCCAGTGGGGAGCATGCAGGAGGCAACCAGTCAATGATTCTCTCTCATCATTGATGTTTCTATTTCTCTCTTCACCTCCCTTCCTCTCTGAAATCAATAAAAATAAGGAAAAAAAGATTAGATATGCTGTTAAAGCAGTTAGAGTGGGTAATTATTTCTCATGAGGATATAAATTTGATCAAACAAATGCAGAACCTTCCAGAGAACCTTAGAAAACAAACACTTAGTTGGGTGAACCAGCTCTGTCATCTTGGCTGGACCCATGTTAGTGTGAAATAAACATTTTTACTGGCTCATATACTGCATAAACCATTTAAAATAGCTTAAATCTGCTCTCTATGGTTACATTTTCAGACACTCTTTTTCATTAAAATGTTTCCTGTCAGCTTTAACAGTGGCTCACGTATTTCATAATTGGTTTGAGGGAGTAACACTTGAGAGCTCATAGTTCATTGGGCCTGAAACACAGTTTGTGGGAACAGATTATAAAGTTGTCAGTTCTGTGTTTACAACATCATTAACACCCGCAAAGCATCTTTCTTTGGCTGTTATTTTCTTAGTCATGAAGTGAAAAGATGTTTTTTTTAACTCTAGTGACTTGATTTAGAAGAAAGATTTACATTTCCCTTTAATTTGGGAACTAGAAATAAATAACTAATTTAAGGTCTTAAAGATACTTGGAAAAACAAAGTGTTTGTTTAATCTCCTCTATAAAGTCTATTTGTCCGAATCCATCTTTTTTTTCCCTGTGGTCTCTTTTTAAACTCTTTTATTGTAAGATTTCAAACTTGATCTTGAATTACACAAAGTTAACTAGTCTTTGCTTGGATGGTTGTCTTCTAAATAAAACAGGTGTTTGCAAATGAGACTCTTAGAACCCTGTGCCTTTGTTACAAAGAAATTGAAGAAAAGGATTATGAAGAATGGAATCAAAAGTTTATGGCTGCCAGTGTGGCCTCAACCAACCGGGATGAAGCTCTGGATAAAGTGTATGAGGAGATTGAAAAAGACTTAATTGTGAGTTTTAACCTTAAAAAATTTTCCCCTGTGATATTCTAAACAAAATTGGACATTTTAATCAAGTTTTGATCTCATTCTTGAAAGATAATTCTAACTTCAGCATTTGAGGGGGCGGGGGGGTTTTGTTGGTTTTTTTTTTTTTTTTTTTTTTTTTGTGTGTGTGTGTGTGTGTGTGTGTGTGTGTGGTTTTTTTTTGTTTTGTTTTTTTTTTTACTCAGCAACCAAAATACAAGTTGCCATTATGAGAAACAGAAAACATTAAAAACAGTTTCTATTCTGATTATCATATCACTTATTAAAATTACGGTTTTTACACAGTAACAAGCCAGACTATACTTAGTACATAGTGAGAATTACTGAAATTATTTCTATTTTGCAAACTCTTGAAACAAGAAAAAAAAAACCATTTGTAAATTAAATTTTCAGAGTTAAACATTGCCTGTACAGCTGAAACCGGTTTGGCTCAGTGATAGAGCGTCGGTCTGCGGACTGAAAGGTCCCAGGTTCGATTCCAGTCAGGGGCATGTACGTTGGTTGCGGGCACATGCCCGATGTGGGGTGTGTAGGAGGCAGCTGGTCGATGTTTCTCTCTCATCAATGTTTCTAGCTCTCTATCTCTCTCCCTTCCTCTCTGTGGAAAATCAATAAAATATATTTAAAAAATTGCCTGTACAGTTTAGATTAATGGAAAATGTTCAGCAAACAGTAATGACCTTTAGCAAAAATTGGCTTATGTCTGTTTAAAGTAACATATACATAATGAAAGTATGTTTCTATTGTCCTTGATTTTGTTCTTGCATTTTTTACTTGGTCAATTACTTTAGGAAAAACTATTTTGGTTATTTTGGTTTGGGGTGTGCAACACAGCTACCCTTCCTGCTAATGCCAGCCATTCACCCCAGTAGAGAACCAATTGGGGTACATAATTAGCCCTTCTTCTCTAAGTAGGTTGGCAAATTATTATTTCAGAACATATTGCTTCTTGCTAATCCACTGTTGTTGTGGTTGTTAATATTTATTGCAGTTATTGGGAGCTACGGCTATTGAAGACAAGCTTCAGGATGGAGTCCCAGAAACCATTTCAAAACTTGCAAAAGCGGATATTAAGATCTGGGTGCTTACTGGAGACAAAAAGGGTAACTCATTGTGTAGGGAAGCATGTCTGTTAACTCACAGATAGTCAGAGTTCCTGTTTCCGTGCCCGAGATGACCTTCTCAGACTTTCCATCCTGAACAGACACTGGCCTTTCTTTGGGACATCGATGCTTTCCTTAAGAAACCTTTCTCTGTTATTCCAGCCCACCCTGTGTCCTTCCCCATGCTCCCTCATTTATTCCTTGTACTTGAGCCCTAGTTGAGTCTTACTGGTTGTGGTCAGTCTTATCTCTCCAGCCAGACATGGCTTGCTGTCCTGAGGGGCTGTCCTTCGTGTCCCTTCTGTCCGTCCCAGCACTGCCATTTGTTGGCATGGATTAGAACAACAAACAGTGAACAACTATTATTTTCTTGCCTGTTTTATTGCTTGAAAATAAGTTATAATTAACATTTTATACCCAAGGGAAGATTTTAATTTTTAAATTTAGAAGTGAACAGAGTTGGTTGGGATTGATACTTTAATCCACAGCATTCCACTGGAAACCAGCTTATTTCTCTTGCTTTGATTTACATCAGCAGTGGGTCCCACATGCTACTAGGCTCAGGGAAGCACTGTCCCAACCTTAAAAAAAAACAAAACCAATGGATGGTAATGCACAAGGGGAAACGTCTTCAATAGGAGCCTTGTGTGAATGAAGGTTGATGGAATTGGTTATCTCCTCACCCCCATAACACAATGATTAAATCACATGAACTGAATGTGTTTAGGATTGCAGTGAACACTGATTTATGAAATAATCAGTTAATGTATTTAATGCTATAGCACATTTTATTATTGAAAAAGTTTCAAACTAGACTTTGAGTTATACTTACTGTATTACAGAAAGAGATTTTTTTAAATGTGATTTCCATACATTGTTATGAAAAAACAGCATAGTATAATAGATTGAATCTGCCTATTTTATTAATTGAAAAATATCATTATTCCTAGGTAAAGTTGATTATTAAGTTCATCAGTAGGAATGACATCTGACTTCATTTTTTTCTGCTGTAGAGACTGCTGAAAATATAGGATTTGCCTGTGAACTTCTTACTGAAGAAACTACTATCTGCTATGGGGAAGATATAAAGTAAGTAATGAGCCTTCAGGATGAGAATAAAGTCTCGTTTTTATAAACACAAGACTAGGTGTAGGAGACACAGATACAGAGAGATGAGAGCTAGACTGTCCCTTCGGGCAGTTTCCTCTGTTTACCTGAAGCAAGAGAACAACAGGCAGCTCTGAGTTCCCATGGTTATACCATAGGCCTTATGTTGTAGGGAAACTTGGGGCCTTTATTTGCCCTTCCCGGGGCCATCGGTCCCCTTTCCTTAGAAGTTCTTGGGACTTGTCTGCTGATACAAATTAATGTGAATTACATTCATGTACTGTCTTTTCTAGGAATTTTACCTTTTCAAGGGAAAATAGAAGAAACCACCCCCCCAATCCTGCCTGAAGGGAAATATTGGGGTTGGTTACATTTGTAGTCTTGTCTAGTTGGGCAGGCCTGATAGTTCAAAGGTGGAATACCTCATTGGCCCTAAAGAGTGCACGAACCTGGAAATGTATAAGGACAAAGCCCTGACTTGTTATGAAGCTACACATGCTGTACATAGTTACCAGGATGTGTTTTCTGCTGGCTTGAGAGTTAGTTCCTTTTATTCCTCAAGACTTTTCCTTACGATGCCTCAAGGCCAATTAACTGAGCTGTTAACATATAACCTAGTTTATTAATATAATGAGGAAGTTGATGGTTGTTATTAGTCTTCCTTTTAATGATGATGATAGACTTTCTGAGTTCTTTCAGTGTATTAGGCACAGTGCTAAATTAGACAAGCAAAACCAGTAGCTTCATAATCTAAGTAGACCAGTTCTGTTTGAATAAAGGTATATAAATCATGCCTCTTTGTGCTTTTAGGATTTGAAAAATAGCAGTGGACAAGTAAATACTAATATGTTGACTTAAGTAGTTTCTTGATTTCAAGTAATCTGACTAATTACCATATGGTTTTATTTATTTTTTGTAGAGAGGAGACTTAATATATTTCTTTTCTCTTTCTTTTTTCTTTTTTTTAAAATATATTTTATTGATTTTTTTGCCCCCCTCCTTCCCTCCCACATATCCCCTCCCTCCCCAGAGTTTTATGTCCATTGGTTGTACCTATATGCATGTATAAAAGTCCTTTGGTTGATCTATTATCTCCCCCGATCTTCCTCCCCTCCCCACTGTAATTTGACAGTCTGCTTGTTGATTTACTGTCTCTATATCTATATTTTGGTTCACCAGTTTATAATGTTCTTTATTATCCACAAATGAGTGAGGTTATGTGGTGCTTCTCTTTCATTGATTGGCTTATTTCACTCAGCATGATGTTCTCCAATTCCATCCAGGTTGCTGCAAAGGATGAGAATTCCTTCTTTTTTTTATGGCAGCATAGTATTCCATTGTGTAGATGTACCATAGTTTTTGGATCCAATCATCTGCTGACGGGCACCTAGGCTGTTTCCAAATTCTGGCTATTGTAGATTGTGCTGCTATGAACATAGGGGTGCATATATCCTTTCTGATTGGTGTTTCTAGTTTCTTGGGATATATTCCTAGAAGTGGGATTACTGGGTCAAATGGGAGTTCTATTTTCAGTTTTTTGAGGAAACTCCACACTGTTCTCCACAGTGGTTGCATCAGTCTGCATTCCCACCAGCAGTGCATGAGGGTTCCTTTTTCTCCGCAACCTCGCCAACACTTGTCGTTTGTTGATTGGTTGATGTTGGCCATTCTGACAGGTGTGAGATGGTATCCCATTGTTGTTTTGATTTGCATCTCTCGGACAATTAGTGACTTTGAGCATGTTTTCATGTGCCTTTTGGCCTTCCTCTGTCTTCTTTTGAAAATGTTCTATTTAGGTCCATTGCCCATTTTTTAATTGGATCATTCATCTTCCTTTTATTTATTTGTATAAGCTGTCTGTAAATGTTGGAGATTAAGCCTTTATCAGTGGCATTATTTGCAAATATGTTCTCCCACACCATGGGCTTTCTTGTTGTTTTGTTGATGGTTTCTTTTGCTGTAAAAAAGCTTTTTATTTTGATGTAGTCCCATTTGTTTATTTTCTCTTTAGCTTCCATTGCCCTAGGGGCAGTATCAGTGAAGAAGTTCTTTTGGCATACGTCTGAAATTTTGCTGCCTGTGGATGCTTCTAGTATTTTTATGGCTTCCCGTCTGATGTTTAAGTCCTGTATCCATTTTGAGTTTATTTTTGTGAATGGTGTAAGTTGGTAATCTAGTTTCATTCTTTTGCATGTGTCTGTCCAATTTTCCCAACACCATTTATTGAAGAAACTGTCTTGACTCCATTGTTATTTCTTTTCTCTTTCTTGAAAGTGTTGAAAGTTGGGCTCTGAGCTAAATGAGAAGAAAAAGTGAATGCAAGTAGCAGATTTTATGATCATGTTCTTGGCTCAGTTTACCTTTAAGAAATGAATCATCTTTCTAGATGGGCCATCCTGTAGAATAGTTTGAATGAGTAACTTCATATTTTTCTCTTCTAGCCTTTTAAGGATCACTCCTTATTTCAACTTGAAAATAAAAATTAAATTAATGTGGAAAATGGATAGATAACCAATCCTTTAGAGCAGTGGTTCTCGGGGGGGGGGGGGGGGGCAAAAGTTTGCCTTCTATGGAACATCTGGCAATGTCTGGAGTCAGGTTGTCACAAAGGGGTGCTCGAAACATCGTACAATCCAATGGATAGCCACATTCAACAAAGAATGATCTGGCCTAAGACTGCAATCGTGTCAAGGTTGAAAAAGCTGTTCTTGAAGGTGCAGAATAATGGCTCAGTGTGTGTAATGAGGAAAGCCTTGGGCTGAGAGTTAGGGGACCTAAGTCTTCATTCCAGTTTTCCCATTTGCTGCAGGCAAATCACATCATCTCTGACATGAAGAGACTGGATAAGATAATTACAGTCTCTTCCACTCCAAAGCCTGTGCTCATTTTGTTATCAAATGCATGTCTTAATGTGGTCTTCTAAATAATGTGTAGATTGAAAGCACTGAGCATTTCTCTAAACCAGACTTTATGTGGAAATAAGTTTCTTTTTGCCAAACAGCCCCCATTTATAATACAATAGGGTTCATCCTGTATTATAGTTCAGATTAAGATTTCCTTCCTTCTGTTTGTTTTTTTGTGTGTGGGGTTTTTTTTGTGTTTTTTTTTGTTTTTTGGGTTTTTTGTTTGTTTGTTTTGTGTGTGTGTGTGTGTGTGTGTGTGTGTGTGAATATATTTTCAGTTCTATCTTATGCTGTTTTTGGCAAATGATGAAGTACCAAGAACATGGTGCCCCCATAGTGGAAGAATTAAGACTTGGTTAAGTTATATATCACTCATTTAAAAATGGACAAAGGGCCAAAACTGGTTTGGCTCAGTGGATAGAGTGTCGGCCTAAGAACTGAAAGGTCCTGGGTTCGATTCCGGTCAAAGGCATGTACTGTGGTTGCGGGCACATCCCCGGAGGGGGTGTGCAGGAGGCAGCTGATCGATGTTTCTAACTGTCTATCCCTCTCTCTTCCTCTCTGCAAAAAATCGATAAAATATATATATTTTTTTTTAAATGAGCAAAGGACTTGAATCAAACATTTATCCAAAGAGGACATAAAAATGGCCAACAAGTATATGAAATGATGATCAACATCACTAATTATGAGGAAAATACAAATTAAAAGTACAATAAGATATCACTTCACACCATTAGGATAGCTATTATATATATTGAATGTGGGCAAGGATATGGAGCAATTGGGACTCTTTGTTCACTGCTGGTAGGAATGTAAAATCGTGCAGGCACTATGAAATGGTAGGGTGGTTCCTCGAAAAAATTAAAAATGAAGTTACTATATGATCCAGCAATCCCACCTTTGGGTATTATCCCAAAGAACTAAAAGCAGGGACTCAAAGAGAATATTTGCACACCCATGTTTATAGCAGCACTATTTACAATTGCCAAGAGTAGAAGCAAGCCAAATGTCCATCGATGTATGAATGGATACACAAAATGTTGTTCACCCTTAAAAAAGAAAGGAAATCCTGACAAATGCTACAACATAGATGAACCTTGAGGACATTATGCTAGGTGAAATAAGCCAGTCACAAAAAGAGAAATACTGTATGATTTCATTTATATGAGTTATCTAGAGTGGTCAAATTTATAGAAACTGAAAGTAGAGTGATGAGAAGCCAGGATTTAGGGGAAGGAGGATTGGGGAGTTATTTAATAAAGTTTCGGTTTTGAGAGAGGAAAAAGTTCTGGATATGGGTTATACAACAATGTGAATATACTTAACACTATTGAACTGTATCCTTAGAAATAGTTAATGATTAATTTTATGTTACTTTTTACCAAAATGTTATAAAAAGATTATACTAGTATAACAAAATTATCTCACAGTCAATTATAACCTTGTACTTTAAACACTTCAATTTCTTTTCCCCAGTGCTCTTCTTAACACAAGAATAGAAAACCAGAGGAATAAAGGTGGAGTGTATGCAAAATTTGTACCGCAGGTGCAGGAACCTTTTTTTCCACCGGGCGGAAACCGTGCCTTAATAATCACTGGCTCTTGGTTGGTATGTATATCATTAGAGTGTCTGTGCCTTTGACTCAAACTAAAGCAGTTCATTATGGACCAATTTTAGACGGTTTGCCATATTAACTACCAACCCAAAAATCTTTTAGCCAATAAATGAAAATGCAATTTCCCAAGTTTGAAACTTAATGTTCTATGGTACATGAAAGGAATTACACCAAACTGGTAATAGTGGTTATACCTGATTTATCAATTAATGATTTGGTTATTTTAAATTTTCTTCTTTGTACATTTTTCTATTTCCTAATTTTTATAGTAAATTTTATGTAAGTAGAACAATGTAATCAATGCTGTAATCCAAAAATTATCCTTTCCTATCATCAAAATCTTGAAAAACGGGACTTTTTTTTATATAAGAATAGTTTATTGAATTTTAGAGAGAGTGAGAGAGAGAGAACCATCAATTGGCTACTTCCTATACATCCCTTTGCAGGGATCAAGCCGGCAACCCAGGCCTGTACCCTGACCGGAATCAAACCGGCAACCTTTTGGTACATGGGATAATGCCAAATAACTGAGCTACCTGGCCAGGGCAGGAAATGGGACTCTTGCTATAAAAACTAAAATGGTAGTAATTCTTTCCCTCTGTGATGTCACAGAATGAAATTCTTCTAGAGAAAAAGACCAAGACAAGTAAGATTCTGAAGCTGAAGTTCCCACGGACAGAAGAAGAAAGACGAATGCGGTCGCAAAGCAAACGGAGGCTGGAAGCCAAAAAGGAGCAGCGGCAGAAGAACTTTGTTGACCTGGCCTGCGAGTGCAGTGCGGTCATCTGCTGCCGGGTCACCCCCAAGCAGAAGGCCATGGTGGTGGACCTGGTGAAGAGGTACAAGAAAGCTATCACGCTGGCAATTGGAGACGGAGCCAATGATGTAAACATGATCAAAAGTGAGTCTTACACACACAGCCAATGCAACCCGAATTACTACATTGATGGCAGGAACAGTTTTGAGGGTAGTTTTTTTTTTTTTTTCAATCTTATTACCTGGGCTTTCCTAACGCAGATGTTTAAGAAAGGTACCCTACTGGGATGGCTACACCTGTGGCCCTGTCCTCGGGTAGTTTTCAGCCCATCCACAGCCCATCTGGTAGGAGAGAGCAGGCATGACAGTGCTCCCCACAGAATGCCAAGTAGAAGACGAGTTCCATATGGTTGAATTTATCCTTGTTTCCTTCTTTTATGTGTTTGGATTTTTTTTTTCCTCTCCTTCGGCTTCTCCCATGTTTTTTGGAGGCTTATTAAAAGTCCTGCTAAGTAGCCAAAACCGGTTTGGCTCAGTGGTAGAGCGTCGGTCTGTGGACTGAAAGGTCCCAGGTTCGATTCCGGTCAAGGGCATGTACGTTGGTTGCGGGCACATCCCCAGTAGGGGGCGTGCAAGAGGCAGCTGGTCGATGTTTCTCTCTCATCGACGTTACTAGCTCTCTATCTCTCTCCCTTCTTCTCTGTAAAAAATCAATAAAATATATTCAAAAATAAAATAAAAGTCCTGCTAAGTAATGCTTTTTGTTAAGCTTGGTATAATTGTTGAACTCTTTCTGGTATTTGTTTTGAGGTTGTTCTCCCTCCCCTAAGCATCATTTTCTGGAGCTTTTTTCTTGCCTTTGACAAATCTGTTAGAACTTCACCCATTGGGAGACCTGCAGTGAGCTCAGAGTAGTACATTGGCATTGAAGCAAAGCTCCGAAATAGTCTCACCTATTTCTTAACCTCCCTGAAAGGCTGCTGAGGGTCCTTCATACAGAGAAACACAGTTGTTTGGGTATTAAAAGATGTGGGACCAAACCTCAGCAACATGTCTGAATCCTGGTTTTCCCCCTCCCTATATTACTTAAGGGTGATCTTTTAATGAAAATATCCAAAGTAAGGAGACTTGAATACTTCTCTCTTACTGCCAACATGCTCATCTGAAAACAAGAAAATTATCTCCGATGTCACCTCCAGCTTTGTGATGTTATTAGGATGAAAGATTATATGACTACATGTGTATATGCACATCCTGTTGTGCTTGGTATCTTCTTTAAAAAATATATTTTATTGATTTTATTACAGAGAGGGAGAGAGATAGAGAGTTAGAAACATTGATAAGAGAGAAATATCTATCAGCTGCCTCCTGCACACCCCTCACTGGGATAGAGAGTTAGAAACATTAATGAGAGAAATATCGAACAGCTGCCTCCTGCACACTCCCTACTGGGGATGTGCCCACAACCAGGGTACATGCCCTTGACTGGAATCGAACCTGGGACCCTTCAGTCTCCAAGCTGACGCTCTATCCACTGAGCCAAACCGGTTTTGGCTGTGCTGGGTATCTTAATGCATTATGTATAACTAGATTTTATAATCAGCCTATGTTGTGACTCATGCATCTGTCTTTCTTTTCTTAGAGTCTCTTCTCCTCCTTGACATATACTAAGAGTATTCCAACTTTATCTTCTTCAACAGGAGTCAGCTGTATGATGTACGTCTTCTTGCTTTTTTATTATGTATATCTGTCGCCACTACAGTTTAATTCCTCTGTACTGTGTTTTGCATGTGCTTTTGCTACCATGCAAATGGCATTTCTTGCTCTGAATTATATCTATTTCCTCTGTACCTAGCTCTTTCTCTCCCATCATATATCATTAACTCAACTAGCTATGCCAAAAGGAGCAAGGAACTCAAACACGACCTGTATTCGGTTATACTGCAGACTCCTAGGTGTTTGGGGGAGGAAGGGAGGGTTGCCTTGCAGATTTACCCTCTGGTTTAAGATTTAGACTTGAAAATATTTTTCCCTCTGAGTTCACCAACTGAGAGCAAAGGGATCATAGAAGTCAACATAGATTTTAGAGATTTGTTTTTCTTAAATTGTCTTACCAATTTTATTAAGTTATTATGGCAGGTGCTTTTATATATAACCTATGGAGCATCCATTTGTGACAAAAATCAAGGAAACTCTGAGGTCTCCTTGGAAATCAGTAGCTTTAGTGTATTTTCAGTGCCTTTTGTACTTTGCAACAACAACAACAACAAAAAACACACTAATTTTTTTTAGCTGCTTCGAGAACAATGTACAGTGGTGAGGGGAATATTTGTTGTTTATAAAAAAGTAGAGTGAAATTTAAGTGTCAGAAAAAAATCTGACCATTGGCTAACAGTTTCATGTTTAGCAGTATAGTGCAGTAGAAGTAGAGGAAATTACAACCCACCATGTTCCTTCCCCTAGCAAGAATCCTAGGACTCTCATAAGCTGCCCTCTCCCTCTAGTGCCTAAAGATGTCTCCTGACTGGTGGGTGGTTTTTCTAAGACCCTGAGAATGAACAAGCTTGAGGAAATGATCTGTTTGTTAAGGAATTATAAAGTCTTTTGAAGAGGCATTTAAAACCATATTTGGAACTTCAGAAAAATCTATATTTAGATTTTAGGGAGAAAGCCAGTGTGGCCTTATGAAGTGCATCTGTTCAGTTGTCTTGAATCACCCTGGGAATCATTCCACACACTGTCCTTGGTCTGCTCAGCAGAAAGTTTGGCAGGTGTTCCTCAGCTCCAGCATAAGCTCAGCACTTGCCTCTGTGGCTTGTTTAGGAAAGGAAGCTGTGGTTGGATAGGAAAGAGTAGCTGGTAATCATGATCAGTCAAGTGAACTATTTGTGTGCGTTGAAACAGGTCATAAATATTGAATGAGATGCAACTTATTCTATTTTTTTAGAATTGCATAGTATTGTCGAAAACCTTGGTTTGCACAAGTGACTCCATTTTAAATTTGCCAGACCTTGTGTTCTGCAAATGGGGGGGGGGGGGGGGGGGCGGCGGATTGTAAGCTTCTTTTAGTTGGAAACCCTGCTGGGTTGACAATCACTTCTCAGGGTCTGAGTAATAGGTTGTGTTCTCCAAACACATGTTCTCTTGAATGATCTCACTGTCTGTCTTCTCTCTCATGACTTCTGAAACCTAGAAAAAAATGTGTAATTCTCTACATTGAATATGCAATTTAATGAATATTGGAACAATGGATAAAATGGTGACTTTTTTTTATCTATTCTGGAAACCTTCTCCACTACATTAAAAAAAAAAAAAAAAAGAGTGTCTTAAGGTAATGATAGGCTATAAATAAGTTTTTGAAAGTTTAGTAGTAACTTAGTTAAAACTGTTTTGATTACTTGTATTGGGGAATAACTAACACTAGCTTAAGACAAAAGAAATTTATTTTAAAAGACACAAAGATGTCTCACGCTGCCCAAGAAGTCCATGCCTCAGAAGATGTTGGAGCCAGGACCTGAGCCTTCACCAGGAACCCCATGTCTGTCTGTCTCTCCCTCTCTCTAAATGACATTTCTCTGCCTTCAGAACCCCTCAGAGATATATCCATCCCACACCGTGAGAATTTACACATTAAAGTTTTAAACAGAAACACATCCAAATCCTAATTCCAAATGCGCAGAGACTGACTGGCCCAGCTTGGGTTTTCTGTCGGTCAAGGCACAGGACAGAAAACCGATACCTTGAGGTTCTTTAAACAGAAAGTGATTAATACAGGGGCTGGGGTACTCAAAACAGCTCTGGGTGGACTGAAAAAAAGCTGGTTTTAGGCTGTGCATCTAAAATCTAATATTCCTCACTAGAGGAGATTCTACTGTGAGGGTCCTCTGCAAAGCTTTTCAAGTAAGAAGCCTCTGAAGCTTTCGGTAAACCTAAGTCAGTGTCTCTGATTGTCCAAACCTCTTTCAGTCAGCATCTGACAACCGGAGAATGGACATGAACTCTGTTGTAGAAATGCCAAAATAGGAAGTGATGCTGGGCTTCAAATCAGTTCTCCCAAGTATCAAGGGGGTCGAAACAGTGGAACTTAATTCACAAAGAACCTAGAGGTAGGGAGTCTGGGCAATGTAGGGTTTTTATTAGCATTCCCATCTTCAATTAGGACAGGATGGAATGAAGATTGAGAGAGTTAATTCATAGTATCCACTTCAGATTATGTGTTGGCCCATGGCTGACTCAGCTGTGGCTGGGACGGAGACACATTAGGGCTCACTTTTTGGATTAGAAGGATAATCTGACTGGGCAGATAATTAGGCTGGAATTCCGCATTCACTTGAGATGTTCACAAATGTTCATGAAGACACAACCATGTGCACTATTTGGCAACTACTACCTCTGACTTTGGAATTAATTCAGAAGCTGGAGTGGAGGCTAGAGAGCAAGAATTTTCATATTTATTATTCCATGAATGTCATTTTTTTGTTTGTTTGTTTTGCCATGGAAACATTATCACCTCAATGTTTTGCCTTCAAATAGGCTTACAACTAACAGTATTTTCTCCCTTTGCCCCATAGCTGCCCACATTGGTGTTGGAATAAGTGGACAAGAAGGCATGCAAGCTGTCATGTCCAGTGACTATTCCTTTGCTCAGTTCAGATACCTTCAGAGACTGCTGTTGGTGCATGGCCGGTGGTCTTACATCAGGATGTGCAAGTTCCTACGATACTTTTTTTATAAAAACTTTGCATTCACTTTGGTTCATTTCTGGTACTCCTTCTTCAATGGGTACTCTGCACAGGTAATATTTATTTACTTGATTGGCAGTTTTTGGTATTCTGTCTCTTAAAAGCTGAAGCACAGATTAAGATATGGATTACTTTTCTAATGTATTTCTGGTGCTTTAACAATGTCTTACTTTGCCTTTAAAGGGGTAGAGTTTGTTCCTGGTCTGTTGGCTTTTTTTTACTGTCAGTCAGGGTGCAGGACACGTCCTTTATGTGGGAAGTGATTAATACAGGGGATGGGGTCTATGCCTTCACCCTAAATGTTTTTCTAAGTTACCTTGACATTAAAGGACAGTGATAACATCTTGTTTAACTTTGCAAATATAAAATTACATCGTGACCGAGGCTAAAGGCATTATGCAAATTTTAGATAACCATAGATCTATTACCCTGTTTCCCCGAAAATAAGACAGTGTCTTATATTAATTTTTTCTCTCAAAGTTGCACTAGGTCTTATTTTTAGGGGATGTCTTATCTTTCCATGCGCTAGGTCTTATTTTCGGAGGATGTCTTATTTTTGGGGAAACACGGTATGTCTCCGTTTGTTTGGACTTTTAGTTTTTGCTGTACTAGAAATGGGGGGCATATGTAATATGTCAAAATGGTGATAAGCGGTTAAATATCATTAGTGAAAAATGAACCTAAGCCAGTGTCTCTGATTTTCCAAACCTCTTTGATGCTGTGCCACAGACAAATGGTTCAGGAACCCGGGCCAGGAGCGACCTTGAGCAGGGCTGGGGCCTTCTTCCTGTTTCCATGCAGGACTGTATTTACAACTGCTGGTGCTGAGTAAGCCCGCTTCCTCTGTCCCACCCTGACAATGGGTGTGTGCACAGCCTTACTTATCCCTTTCAGAAACATGGTTCTTATATTCAGCCAAATTCTGTTTTAGAAAGTGTTTGAATGGCAATATTGTACTTGCAAGATAAAAGTAAAGAAGTTTGGATGGTATTTATGTGCTGTTGAGTGAGTTTTATGTATTCTCATTTATTAAGGGACATAAAAAGGATTCAAACACTGACTCGATTTCTAACTTTATTAAAATAGATTCCTTTTCCAAAATGTGTTCGGGTACATCCCCCACCCGTTTAGAGAGAAGTTAGTTTCTATGGAATGGTTTTTTTATTCTGCCCATTACACAGAATCAGACTCATGCCGTCTGCAGGTGTAGAGGTAGGGCAGAAGCCCCCCTCAACCTGGGGACATCCTGGCTTTGACAGAGCAGATGAATGCATGTTGACTAGGCTGCCAGTGTTTCCCGGTTGGTGACACACTCTGTAATCTCCCCCCAGACTGCGTATGAAGACTGGTTCATCACCCTCTACAACGTGCTGTATTCCAGCCTGCCCGTGCTCCTCATGGGGCTGCTCGACCAGGTAGGAGCCTTGTGCTGACAGGGGCACTCTGTACGCCTCTTAAACAAGGTCAACGCAAATGTTTTTGTTTTTTTTTTAATATATTTTTATTGATTTCAGAGAGGAAGGGAGAGAGAGATAGAAACATCAGTGATGAGAGAGAATCAAAGCAAATACTTTGATGCATTCATTTGGTTTTCACTTGGTTCTGAGTAAACCCTGTTATAATTCTGGTGTCCAGCAATGAGAGTAACTGCTGTGCTTCTTGTTGAATGGTAAGAAAAGGCAAGTTCTGTGCCTGGGTTGAATCACTGAGCAGAGTTGATAATTTTCCTTTGGACACTAAGACTTTCTTGATGAGACACTTGACAGAATGGTATGTCTCTATAATAACCTATTGATTTTAAAATAAATAATTTTAATACTTTCTAAGTCTATGTGTTTAATTCTCAGATTATTACATTCTACATTTTATCTAGTAGTAATTCTTAAAGTGCTTTGATGAGTAAAAATAATTTGGAATGAGCTCATCAACTTGTGTGTGAAATACTTTCCCAAGTAATTAGAAACAATATATTCTCTAAGGGAAAAATAGCCTCTACATTTTTTTGACATTAATTATTTGTTTTCTTTCCATAAATAGCAAATTAATATACTTCCTTAGATGAATGTATTGATGTTGATCTCAGTACAGTGAAACTATTCATAACTTATCTTGTTTAATTTTTGCCTTCATAAAACCTAGGTTGGTTAGAGTGTTATCCCCATATGCCAAGGTTATGGGTGATCTCCAGTCATAGGGCACATCCAAGAAGCAACCAATGAATGCATAAATTAGTGAAACAAATGATGTTTCTTTCTCTCTCTCTCCCTCCCTCTCTAATTCAAATACATACATACATACCTGTGACATGTAAGCATGTAAGTTTTCTCTGAGCTCTTTGATTCTTGATGGACACTACACAACTCTTCTTGTGTTTTCCCCTGAAGGATGTGAGTGACAAACTGAGTCTCCGATTCCCTGGATTATATGTAGTGGGACAAAGAGATTTATTATTCAACTATAAGAGATTCTTTGTAAGCTTACTGCATGGGGTTTTAACATCGATGATCCTCTTCTTCATACCTCTGGGAGCTTATCTACAAACAGTGGGACAGGATGGAGAGGCGCCTTCGGATTACCAATCTTTTGCTGTCACAATCGCCTCTGCTCTCGTGATAACAGTCAATTTCCAGGTATGTGATTTTAGTCACCTGTTTTCAGTATCTGTTGGTGCCTATATTTCCATACAGACCAGTGTGCATGTCCAGCTGGTTCCCCCTCTCCCTCCAACTGAGCCTCTGCCATTTTACACAATGTGACTGCTCTTTTCACTCCTGATAACCAAACACATTTCCTACTTCTTGCTTGAGCCAATGATAGTTTGATTGGTCAGTATTCCAGCCAAATCATGTCTATGTTACTGAATTCTGTTTTTTCAGAGTCCTTAGATCCTTTATTTCTTGCTACCTCCCCAAAGTGAATGCTTTGTTTTTCTCTGGTTTCCCAACAGATTGGCTTGGATACTTCTTACTGGACTTTTGTGAATGCTTTTTCAATTTTTGGAAGCATTGCACTTTACTTTGGCATCATGTTTGACTTACATAGTGCTGGAATACATGTTCTCTTTCCAGCTGCATTTAAATTTACAGGTTGGTATTTTCTTCCTAAATTCCAAAAATAAATGTATAGAAAATTTTCAAATTATAAATTATTGCTAGGGAAAACTTGTCCTGAGAATAAATTGAATGGTGGTAGTTTGGAAGAGTGGTAATGTAATGTGAGGAAAGCAAATTAAAATAAACTTAAGATATAATTGTGTATCTGTTAAGTTAGATAAAAGCCTGCCCCCATAAAACCTAATATTGGTAGATTATTGGGGAACAGAATACATGTATTGCTGGTAGCACAATAATACAGTTTATTCCAAAATACTATCTGGAGAAAAAAAATGAACTATTCAATTATTTGTACACTTTGAGAAGTATTTCCACTTGGAGAAAACACTCTAAGGTAAAATACATTAAATTTTGGAAAGGTAATCTAAACAAACATTGTATCACAACATTTCTAATTATGTTTTAAAAATGGAAATAACCCAAAGGCCTAAGAATATAAAATTATCTAATCCAAGTATGAATTCCATATCATAGAATTCCAGGACTCAAAAGTGGGCTACATTGCCTGGCTGGCGTGGCTCAGTGGTTGAGTGTCAACCTATGAACCAGGAGGTCACAGTTCAATTCCCAGTCAGGGCACATGCCCAGGTTTTGGTCTTGGTCCCCAGTATGAGGTGTACAGAAGGTAGGCAATTGGTGATTCTCTTTCATCGTTGATGTTTCTATCTCTCCTCCTTGTCTTGCTGGAAAAAAAAAATTTTAATTTTAAATATATATATTTCTTTTATTTCAGAGAGGAATGGAGAAGGAGAGAGGGCTAGAAACATCAATGATGAGAGAGAATCATTGATCAGCTGCCTCCTGCATGCCCCCCACTGGGGATAGAGCCTATAACCTGGGCATATGCCCTTGACCAGAATGGAACCTGGGACCTTTCAGTTCACAAGCCAACACTCCATCCACTGAGCCAGTCCAGCTAGAGCTATAAAAAAATTTAAGTAGAGCCGAAACCGGTTTGGCTCAATGGATAGAGCGTCGGCTTGGGGACTGGAGGACCCGGGTTCGATTCCGGTCGAGGGCATGTGCCTTGGTTGCGGGCATATCCCCAGTAGGGGGTGTGCAAGAGGCAGCTGGTCGATGACTCTCTCTCATCGATGTTTCTAACTCTCTATCTCTCTCCCTTCCTCTCTGTACAAAATCAATAAAATATATAAAAAAAAAAAAAAAATAAAAAAAAAAAAATTTAAGTAGACTATATTGAAGATATGTATTCAGAGCAATAGATACAATTACAAAAAACACAATAGTTTACAACTGTGTAAAATATAGGACAAATTGACAAATGCTGAAATGAATTTGAGTTTATAAATATAAATATTATAAATAACTATCATGAATTGGAAATTATGAACTTCTTATTTTGAATAGAATATTTTGGATTTACAATGGCAAAAAATCCCTATAAACTCAGTTTCCTGTAAAAGATTAATTGTTTCTTTTTTTACAACCAGTTTTGGCTTGAAAAGATGGTTGCTATGGTAACCCTTTTCTTCTTGGGATTGAGATCATTTTTTAAGATTACATTTTTCTTTAGTGACTTGGTTTTAAAATTTTAGTATCTAGTGACTTAGACTATTCCCATAGGGCAGCAGTCGGCAAACTCATTAGTCAGCAGAGCCAAATATCAACAGTACAACGATTGAAATTTCTTTTGAGAACTAAATTTTTTAAACTTAAACTTCTTCTAATGCCACTTCTTCAAAATAGACTCGCCCAGGTCATGGTATTTTGTGGAAGAGCCACACTCAAGGGGCCAAAGAGCCACATGTGGCTCGCAAGCCACAGTTTGCCCACCACAGCCATAGGGATTGGTTTTTAAACCCAGATACATTTACCAGTGTAGAAACCACATTTTAAAAACTATACCTGAAACCTTATTAACCAATGTCACCCCAAATACATGCAATAAAAAATAAAATCTAAAGAAAGACCATTATTTTTAGAAGCTTACAGTGTAAGTACAATGTTGTGTGAAAATTTTGGCTCTAATTTTAAAATTGAGTAGTATCTGTGATGATCCGGTAGTATTATAGAAATGAATGGTTACTTCCTCTGACATCAAACTGAAAGCCGAATTGCAGTGGGAATTGCCTGTCTCTCATCAGTCCAATGGACTTATTTCTGGAGTTGCCATAGCTATTTCTCTAATCTTGGGCAAGTTACTTCTTCATGACTCAATTCCCTTCCATGGCAAAGAGGGAATACTCATCTCTCAGAACTGATTACATGGCATGCTCTGTGAAGACACCTCATACAAAGCCTAGCACACAAATGGCAGTATTAGTATTTGGAGTTTCACACCAAAACTATGAATAGGAAAGTGCTGTTTTAAGTTCCTGAAAAAATTTAGATTGCCTAATTCTGTATTTTTAATCAATGCACCCTGTCAACAAATGCATTCCCCGCCCCCCCCCCGCCCTTATTTGTTCACTTATGCACATTTGTCTTGTTCCAGAGACTTTAAGCAAAGCAAAATTCGGAAAGTTATCTGATTTTAAAATGTTGATGCCGTCAGCAGTGATGGGATGTTTTAAAAGGGTAACCTGCTTCTTATAAAACTTCACCAGAGAATCCAGTTATGGACAATGGAACAGGAACTGTGTCCTTAGGGTGGAAGGACCCCTGTGACTCTTTCTCCATATTTCTTTCAGGCACCGCTTCAAATGCTCTGAGACAGCCATACATCTGGTTGACCATCATTTTGACTGTTGCAGTGAGCTTACTGCCCGTCGTTGCCATCCGCTTCCTGTCCATGACCATTTGGCCATCAGAAAGTGATAAGGTATAGAAAAAACATGCTTTGTCCTAGCTCTGAGTGCCCCTCACAAAAATCAAAAGAGCATTTCCTACTCTGGCTGGTTTTGCTGAGTGTTTAGAGCGTCAGCCTACAGACAGAAGGGTTTTGGGTTCAATTCTAGGTCAAGGGCACATACATTGGTTGCAGGTTAGATCTCAGGCCCCATTTGGGACATGAGCAGGAGGCAACCAAAGATGTGTGTCTCTCGCATCCATGTTTCTCTCTCTCCCTATCCTCCCTCTCTTCCACTCTCTTTAAAAAAAAATCTATGGAAAAATATTACTGGGTGAGGATTAAAAGAAAAAAGCTTAAAAACAGCTTTCCTGTTCATGTCTAAGCTTTTGAGAAGTTTGGTGTGAACATTTTTTTATGACTACTTCTCTTCCTCTAGCTCCATCTTGCAAATAAGTCCTTGGAGTAAGCATTTTTGTTTGCTCACTTAAAAAAAAAAAAAAAATATATATATATATATATACATACATACATATATATATTATGATTTTTTTTACAGAGAGGAAGGGAGAGGGATAGAGAATTAGAAACATCTATGAGAGAGAAACATAGATCAGCTGCCTCCTACACACCCCCCACCAGGGATGAGCCCACAACTAATGTACATGCCCTTGACCGGAATCAAACCTGGGACCCTTCAGTCCCCAGGCCGACACTCTGCCCACTGAGCCAAACCAGTTTCAACTATTTGCTCACTTTTTGTTACAAAAATTATCAAATCTAAAAGGGAGAATGGTACAGAACCCTCATATATCTATCTTCTCAATTTAACAATCACACTACTAACATTATGCCATGCACATAGGTTTGGATTTCTTCCTTCGTTTAAAGAAAAATGTCACCTTGTAGCTGGATCCTTTGAGATACAAGAAAGCTGTAGCTGAACAATAATGTAGCTGAACAACTCACATAATAATTACAGGCTTTGGGCTCTGTTGATGAGCAATTTAATGCTGTCAAAAAGTACTGGGTTCTTTTCATCTCTCCCCTCTGCTGTTTTCATCCTAAAGTGAAAGGGTGGATTCACCGCAGTTCTAGCATCGCTGCATCCTGACAAGTCTATATCCAGGGAATTACTCTATCATTTTCCCTTTAGGAGCCTGGAGACTTTTCCCTTAGGGGCCAGGCCCACTTTCCTCCAGGCTCATTGGCCAGAATTAGGTCACATGCTCATTCCTGGCCTAGTACTGAACAGGGGAAATCAACCAGTCCCAGTCCTGGGCCTGGCATCCGGGTTCCAGGAGGAATGCGGCTGTGTGGAGCACAGGGTACCTGAATAAGTTCAGTTCCCATCAGAGAGTAGGTGCTAGGTAGGCCACCTGCAGTAACCACTGGATCTCCCTTTTCCCTGACAGTGTACATAGTAGCAAGGAGGGAAAGGATTTTCTCCTGAACCCTAAGCGGTCTGATTTAGGAATTGGATAGAGCAGGAGCTTAGGAGCTTAGGTTCCCCATCTTCTAGCTCCAACATCTCTCTCTCTCTCTCTCTTTCCTCTCTCTCTCTCTCTCTCTCTCTCTCTCTCTCTCTCTCTCTCTCTCTCTTTCCTCTCTCTCTCTCTCTCTCTCTCTCTCTCTCTTTCCTCTCTCTCTCTCTCTCTCTCTCTCTCTCTTTCCTCTCTCTCTCTCTCTCTCTCTCTCTCTCTCTCTCTCTCTCTCTCTCTCTCTCTCTCTCTCTCTCTCTCTCTCTCTCTCTCTCTCTCTCTCTCTCTCTCACACACACACACACACACACACACACACACACACACACACACAATCTCTCTCCCTCCTCCCTCCCCATTTTCTCATCTATAAATGAGGGTGGTGGGAAAGCCTGGTATAGGTCCTCCATGGACATTGGATCCTGTCCCGTCCTGTTGGTCAGGCTTCCTCTGCCTCCATCTCCGTCCCATCAGCCCATTCCTTTTAGCCTTGACCCCTCTCTCTCCCTCTGTAGATTCAGAAGCATCGCAAACGATTGAAAGCAGAAGAGCAGTGGAAGCGGCGGCCGTTCCGCCGCGGCATGTCCTCCCGGCGCTCGGCCTACGCCTTCTCGCACCAGCGCGGCTACGCGGACCTCATCTCCACGGGGCGCAGCATCCGCAAGAAGCGCTCGCCCCTGGACGCAATCATCGCGGACGGGACCGCGGAATACAGGCGGACTGTGGAGAGCTGAGGCCCCGGCCTCACACTGCCGGAGCACAACAGTCCCCCGGAGGAAATGTCTTTTTTTTTTTTTGTATGAAACTCTCAGGACTAGTTTTTAAAAAACTGAACTTGTCACAAGATTTTGAAGACATAATCCTGTTGACAAACTACTTGGGTTGGACTATTAAGCAATAGCAAAGCCAAGAATACCCTTTTTAAAAAAAAGTCCTATTGTTCAACTGTTTATGTTTATTAGGATTCAAAGGGAAATTTGTAAGCCAGTCTCAATCTAGAACAGAATTAGAAAACGTCTGGTATTTCAGTTCAAGTGATATTGCATCATGAAATTTGAATTCAATATTTCAGTCTGGGATCTTCAATGAGAATTTTTCTGATAGATATATATCTATATATCTATATCTATATCTATCTCTATCTATCTATATATAAATAGATAGATAGAGATAGATAGAGATATATCGCTCCTTTTAACCAAGACCTTTCATTTATGATGGTAGTGACAAAAGGTTCATGAATGTTCATCACCTGGAACTCAGTGGTCCAATGTTTTTCAAGGTTGTCAAGGGGCTAATGGTTTCATGTTCTCAAATTGGTTTAATAATTCAATCAAAAAAATTACTTCAGATTTCATAAGTACAGGTTTTAGTTTACTGCGAGGTTAAAATAGCACATTGCATACCTTTACTCTTACTATTCCATATTACTTTAGCCACTACATGTAGTTCTGGGTGAGTTTGTTCCCTACTTTCTTTAAAAAGAAAAAAAAAGGGGGGGGGGATTTAAATATGTATGGGCTTTTAAAAAAAAGTTTTTAAAAAACTGAGGATATCAGTGATAAATTGCAAAATATTTTGCAAAGCTTTCTTTTGAAAAGCAAACTTTGTGCCTACCTGTATGTAAAGTATTTTATAAGAGACTTTACTATATGTAAAGTATTTAACAGAGACCTCATTCTTTTACACTTGTTAGACCTTGACAGAAAAGGGCTGTTGTTAGTAGCTACATTTCTAAGACTGAGAGGCAAAAGTTATTTTTCCAGAAGCTTTTCTCATTCTGTTTTTCACAGTTTCCATATTTCAGTGAAGATGCAGAAGTATTTTCAATAATTCTGTTCTTTTAGGCTGTGAACATTCACAGTGTCTGTCCCATTGAATTGCTAGGAGGAAATCTCAGCATGTACATAGTTCATTTTCTAGGTATGATAAAAGAATGTATGGCTCTTTATGAAAGCAAATTTCTGAAAGTTTACAACTTCTCTTTATCTTGTAAATTTAAAACAATTGTAAGTTGTTTTGTGTGTGTGTGTTTGTAAAGAAAAGTTAGCTTGTGTTAATTCTATTTCAGATTTCTCTCCCATTTTGTGAATTGTGGGAAAGGTTGAGAATACAAATGTGTCAAAGACTTATGTTGCGGGGTGCAATATTAACGATTTTAAAATTGCTTTGGATAAATTATTTCTACATTCTGTAAATCTGAGATTTAATGTATATTTTTGTTTAAAAAAATAAATGATTTAGTAAAATCTTTGGAAAATATAATCTTTTAAGATATCTTTTAATTTGGGTTATTTATTTTACAGTTTATAGATGACATCAGAATCTAAGCCTGCAGGGTTTCTAAAGGAACTAAGGGGTCCTCAGGTGGTGAGAAACAAATACAGGGGCAGAGTATTATGTGTCAGGGAGAAGTGCCTGAGAAAAGGAGATAAGACTTTAAAGTCTCAGGGTATGGGTTCCAATGGCAGGTTGAGAGAATTAATTCCAATTTTAAAAGAAATTTTACTGTGGGTCTAATGCTATCAGAATCACATGATAAAGAGAAATCTCTCATGAAAGAGTCAATAGATGTGGTACCCAACCTTCAACAACCACCCTGATCACTCAGCAGCCCTCAACCTGGAGGCAAGAGCTCCACCACAAGGAACTCGCTGACGGCTGAGAGAGGGGGGGGGGGGGGGTGAGATGGATAGTGAGACTTTTAAAAATTGAATTTTCTTTTTAAACTTTTTTAGTTTTGAACCATATAAATATATTATCCACTCCAAAAATTAAATAACAATACAAATGGTTATTAAGGGAAAAAAATGGTAGTTTGAGTTGGTATTTTTCCCATTTAACATTACAAATCCTCTCAAACTTAGAATCTTCCGACCCCATAAATTTCTAGCCCAGCAACCCATAGCTTGTTACTTTTCCCCTTTGGGTGATCTGGGTAGCATCCTGTTCATGGTTATAGACTGAGCAGTGAGCTTTGTTAGGCCATTTATACGCAAACAGGTTTTCTTTGCCTTTAGAAAAGCCTGGGTAACATTTTTTAAATATATATTTTTATTGATTTCAGAGAGGGAGAGGGAGAGAGAAACATCAATGATGAGAGAGAATCTGATTGCCTGCCTCCTGCAGGCCCTCTACTGGGAATGGAGCCCCAGCATATGCCCTGACCAGTAATCGAACCGTGACCTTCTGAACTACACCAGCTGAGTCTCTCTCTCTCTCTCTCTCTCTCTCTCTCTATATATATATATATATATATATATATATATATATATATATATAATATATTATATTATATTATTTTTTAAATTGATTTCTGAGGAAAAAGCCTGGGAAACATCTTTAGGTCATGTCACAGAAGTGGAAACTACAACTGAATTTGTCTTTATGCTGTCCAAACATCAGCTAAGATGACCCAGGCAGTTATAAGATGCACAGGAAGAAATCACTGTTTAAAAATTATCAGGAATTTGGGCCCAAAACGAATACAATCCTAATGCAGCTGTTTACAATAAATGTAAAACAAAGGAAAGTTTTAACATGGAGAGAAACCCAAACAGCTCAACCAAGGATGGTGGTTAAAATCTTAGGCCAAATTCAGGAGGGTTACTGCAGATAATCTGTTCAGGATCTCCAGTTGGAGAGATTACCAATGTTTCTTTTGGCCCTGGTTCTGCTAAGCAGTATCACCCTGGAAGTGCTGTCATAAACCCTGGAATGTCTCCCTGTTTCTTTTCCATTTGGGGATTAAAAGATATTGGATCTGGCTTGTGAGGCCAACATGGGAGAGATCTTTAGTCTAGCATTTCTCATCAGGAATCAATTCTCATAGGTGCTCAACCTTTAGAAAAGAGGTTGATTTGCCCACTGGGAGTCATCTTGCAGTTTCATTCTAAAGTGTTTCTGCTGAGCCAAGCTGCATAATGAGTAAGCCACTCTATGGAGATCCTATAGGAGGTTTCGGGTTACCATTCGCTTTGGGATTCCACCTGCCTTCGGCTTCCTTAGTTAAACTTTGTGTGACCAACGTGAAAATACATGCTTATTGGAGTGTAATAAAGTATCATTCAGGACTATTTCTAAAGGTAGAGTTTTGGTTGAAATTCCTGGAAAACTTGTGTCAGGGTCTTATCATTGCAAACATCGTGAATAAATGCGGACCAAGAGGAGATCTTGTCAATTATCTGCCTATGTTCAAGACTGGGACTTTTCTTAGCATTTTGTGACTTGGTGTGACCTGCTCCAACAGCAAAAAGCCTCTTAAATCAAGGAATCAGCAGCAAGGCCTCAAAGACCCTTCAGGGCCTCATCTCTTGCTAACCTGATGCAATGATTGCTGAGAGATTCTTCATTGCTAAGAGAACGCAACTCCTCCATTTTGACTGCCTTCAACTTGCTTGAAGGTCATCCGAAATCCCACATTGCACCCAGGATAACACAGTGAAGAAATTAGCTCAGGCTGATGGTAATTGTGTTTTCAGAAAGCAATGACTTGCTAGGACATATGCAGCCTGCTGTGCATGTAGGGAAATTGGGGTGGATCCCAAGAGCAAAAGGAAGTCATGGATGTTGCCAGCTGGAGGATGGAATGGCTGCTTTTGTGTTTGCAAGTGTTTGCCCTGGTTGGAGTGTAGAGACAAGAGAGATCCGGAACCAGGAGGGAGGACACTACTTGCATTGTAATAGAAAGGAAGGGCGTTGAAGCAGGAAAGATTGAGCGTTTTAAGGGAGGGCTGTCGGAAAGCTCCTATTTAACCACATGATGGAGGAGACAGGTCACTCGCTGAGAGCTGGAGCAGAGGGAAAGATTGCAGAATTTTTAAAAATACATTTTATTGATTTTTACAGAGAGGAAGGGAGAGAGATAGAGAGTCAGAAACATCGATGAGAGAGAGTCATCGATCAGCTGCCTCTTGCACACCCCCTACTGGGGATATGCCCGCAATCAGGGTACATGCCCTTGACCGGAATCGAACCCAAGACCTTTCAGTCCCCAAGCCGACGCTCTATTCATTGAGCCAAACCGGACCCGGCAAGATTGCAGAATCTTAAAATATTCTAATTCTGGTCAGAATTCTCCAAGGTGAAGGGGTGGGGCGAGGGTGGAGAATGGGGCGGGTGCAGCAGCAGTTTTCAGCAGTTTGGTTGAAGGCTTAAAGGTCTGATTCATGCTGGAACAAAAGAATAACAGTAATTAACTATTAATACCATTTATATCCTAATTCAGAAGGCTCACTAGATGCCAAGCTCATACTAGGCATTTTTGCATACCTAATCTCTTATCAACCTCACAGCAACCTTTCCAGAGAAGGATAATTATTTTACAGTAAAAAAAAAAAAAAAAGTCTGTGGTTCTCTTCCAGTATGGCCCAGTGATGAAGCATCAACCTATGAACCAGGAGGTCACGGTAAGGTTCTGTTCAGGGCACATGTTGGGTTGTGGGCTCAATCCCCAGTGTGGGGTGTGCAGGAGGCAGCCAATCGACGATTCTCTCTCATCATTGATGTTTCCATCCTCTCTCCCTCTCCCGTCCTCTCTGAAATCAATAAAAATATATTTTAAAAAAATAAGTCTGTGCCTTAGGTTAAGGAACCCAACCCCCAACCAGGGTCGAGGAGTCCCATGTCCTACGGTTATACACAGACATACTTTAGGGTTGTTGTGGGTTCTGTTCCAGGTCAATACCGTGAATATCACAATAAAGCTAGTCTTAATCTTTTTGTGTGGCGGGTG